GAATGTGTAAAAAGTTAAGGGGTCTGAAAACTTTCACTGTATCTCTCCCGCTCTCTCTCTAAGCCTGTGGAGGGGAAGGTTGGATGCTGGATCGAGCTAGGCGTGTGGGAGTGAGTTATGTCACAGGCCTCTCAGGGAGTTTCCCTAGTGGTGGTGCTGCCACTGCTGTGTTTGGTTAGGTAACTCAGCCTAGCCTCACTCAGTCACAGCCTCACAAAACAAACATGCCTGACTGCACCGGCAGCAGTGTGGCATTTATTGGGATGTCTCATGTACTGGAGGCAGCTCTGCAGAGTGGTCACTAGCTAGCAACAGCACTAAAGTCATAAAATCAGATTTTAAACCTAACCTTAACCACACTGCTAACCCTAATGTCTAACCCTAACCTGGCAGCTAGCGCACAACATTCTGAGAACCATATGTTTTTTTAGAGCTAGGTGTGTGCGTGATTGTCCTATGGTTATTTTGCATACAACCTTTCCACAACTTTCTGGTAATGGTGCAGGATAGTTGCTTGGCTTTGGAAAATTCTCAGCACTTTGAAGGAACTTGACAAAAAAAGTGTTTTCTTGGTATTTCATTACTTTAACAGAACGTTTCCTAAAAGTTCAAACATAGTTACATTTAATTTACATTTTGGTAATGTTCTAGGAACGTTGTCCATCTGGTTTGACATTGGGAATGTTCTCAAAGTTCAGAGAACGTTAAGAAACGACATTCTTCTGTGCGAATTTGAGTACTTCAGCATAATGTTTCCTACAGGTTTCCTCATGGTTCTATTTAAAGTAATGTTTTTATTGTTCAGAGAATGTTAAGAAAACTTTCCATAAAAAACAGAAAACTTTCGTAACGTTCAGAGAACGTTCTAATAATGTTATTTAAAAACATATACATTCTGTTCTCAGCATCAACAAAACTCTCTCCATCCTCTATCTTGTTAAATGTGTTCAGGTGTGTTGGCCGCGCCCACTAATTGGCCACAACTGATCTTAATGAGTGATTGTTTCCTTTGAAATGGGGTCTGTTTGAATAGACTAAAATGAACAGCTTTGTATGCGTAAAAAACATGGCATGTTTACTCCGTCCTGGTGGCACAGTGGACTAATTCCATGGATAAACATAATATAATAATATAATAATAATATGCCATTTAGCAGACGCTTTTATCCAAAAAAGCAACAGAAGATCATAGGTTCAAACTGCACTGATGCTGTGTCTCAATAAAAAATAAATGTGTTTGCATGATTAATGTCTAAGGAAATGAATTTCCATGTGTCCTATCTGAGCTTGGAGTTCAAAAAAAGTTTACCCAAAATAAGCTTGCAGTGTTATGAAGTCTTATTGAAACATTCAGTGGACATTTTAAGGAAGTTATTCAAAAACCCAAAAGTAACCTATAATTTCTCCCAGAAAAACTTTAAAGGAACCAGAGTAAAACGTTCTTAGAACCTCCCTGCAACCTACAAATAAATGTTCCCGAACAGGCGAAATGATAATTTCTGTTCTCAGAACGTTTAAAAAAACGTTGTTTTACCGGTCAGGAAACATATGGCTTTGTTCCCACAATGTGAAACCAAAAACATATGTTCCTACAACTTCCAAGGAGCCAAATGTGTTAGCTGGGCTTAAATTAGGAACAAAAAGCAAATTTTTATTTTCATAAATGTTACGATATAGCCAATTTTGACTTTGCAGCTGGTCCATATATAGGAAATCGCTCACTTCTGCCTCCAGGACAAGATTCATGACAAAAAATATCAGTTATGTCACAGGCCTCTGAGGGTGTTTCCCTAGTGGTGGTGGTGGTGCTGCTGCTGTGCTTAGTTAGGTGACTCAGCCTCAGTCAGTCACAGCCTCACAAAACAAACATGCCTGACTGCACCGGCAGCCAACCAGGCCACACTTTATTAATCAGATGTATCTGTATCTGACTGAGGCTGCAGAGCAGGAAAAAAAACACCCACCCCCCCCCACACAAATCCCATACAGACACCCTTCTCTGTTTTGAACTTTGTAGAAGACCATAGAAATAGATAGGGAGACATTACCAGCCAGATTCCATGGAGGGTTAATTGAAAGCTAATGTGCCGTGACATGGGGACGTGCGGTTGTCCCTGTGTACAGTCAGTGGAGGCTGCTGAGGGGAGGATGGCTCATAATAATGGCTGGAACGGAGCGAATGGAATGGCATCAAACACAAGGAAACCATGTGATGTATTTGATACCATTCCACTCCAGCCAATACCACGAGCCCGTCCTCCCTAATTAAGGTGCCACCAACCTCCTGTGGTACCAGTGGCTTCCATTTGTCATTCCCTCAGCCAATGAGGATCCTTTTATCCTCCTCAGACAATGGTTATCATAGGCAAACATGAGGGTGACTGAGGGTGGCTCGGACGGTCGCCTGAAACCCAGACACCAGACACTGTCTGACTTTGGAAGAGTTGCGGGGACAAAACATCAGGCCTGGATCCTTTTTACGAGCTGAAGAGGTCCTTTTGCCTCATTTTTCTTTTTTATTGAAAGGAAACCTGAAGGATGTTTTGACTGTTTTGTCACAGAGATAGTGAGGGACCCCATTTTCAGTCTCTCAGGTTGTCCCTGTAAGACATGTTGAGCTCACCAGGCCTATTATACAGCTTTCTGAGTTTTCAGTCTGCATCAAACACCAGGGATGAAACATTGTCAGGTTCTGTGTGTACTCAAACCAACAGACATTAATACACAGTCTTATACTTCATTTACATTCAGTCCATGTGGATTGTAAAGACATATCTGATGCTAGCTGTTGTCAAATCACAGAGTCCCTTTGAATATAACCACAAACCCATAACTCACATGAAGATCAATCATTGGTTGCTACCACTCTTGAAATCAGTTCAACAATGCATTGGAGAGAAGGCAACAAGGAAACTGGAACCAATGAGCTGAAATGGTGCAGTTGAGTTGAGGGGCGCCGCATGGGGAATTTGATTATCAACAGGCTAGAGAGATAGTATTTTTCATACCGCTGAAAATATCAGCTTCCACGGGGGATGTGGTTGTGTTTTGTAACGACAAATGGAGGCAGAGCAGTTGGTTATACAGGAGGGGATGGGGAACGTTAATCTATGACTAACTGTCCTCTGTGTCAATGTCATTCTAACATCATTGAGGGGTTTCTGTACACGTACACGCTAGCAGGCAGCACACACTTCTCCACATACTTGGTATCCACAATTCCTATTTCTGTTGAAATGTCACAAAGAACAATTCCATAAGACATGTCTTTCCTATCATTTTAAAAGACCAGGCCACCCAAATTGCTGTCTTTTGCAGGAAAAACACATTCCAATTGTTGCCTTCCACATCCTAGAACAAAGGCGGCAGAAGAGATACAAAATGGTGAACCCTTCACACTGGCAATAGGAACACTGGATAGTATTAGCAGACAGTGAAGAGAACGCCTTAGTTTCCTGTGTTAAATAATCAGTGAAGGACATTTGATGCATACATCACCAAGTAATGAATTCACTCAATAGCACAGCACTGCCCTTGAAAGTATCATGTTGTCACCTGATCATACTTACATTGTATGGTGATAGCACTATTATTTTTGGATAACACGGCCTAATGTTTCCAATACAGAGGTCATTCAAATTTACAGGGCTTGTAGTCAGTGTATACACCCACTTCATTATCCCACTCATAGGTCCCCTAAGCCAGACCGTCGACATGATTTTCTCACAAACTTCTGGCATCTTAAAAGCAAGCTATTTACACACAGCAGTAAACATTTCCCGGCGTGGAAAAAAAGAAAGAACCTGACGCCATAATGACATAGAGGCTTTGCACACCAGCTCACACTCACAGGGTCATCCCAGCTCATCCCTCTACTCCATAGCTAGCGGTCTTCATTATTGATTTCAACGTAAAATCAGAATGCATTAATATACATCAAATGTATTTGAGACGAAGAATTCTCGTCCTACTGGTCAGCGTCATCATGAGATATGATGGTCGATCACAAAATCGGGTCTCACACAATGACAAGAACGAGACTTGATTGGATTTATGTGAAGTTTATAACACTAAGATAAAGGGCAGTTTACACATACAATAACAAACAGACATCTAATTTGTATGAGCATAATTATAACATGTACAAGTTTTTCTATTTTACATCGTTGGTTGTGTATTCTCAGTGCATAGCATTACACACAGAGCAACTGTTGCACAGCACAATAGTATCCGAACAGGCTGAAATGGAATAAGGCTGTTGTTTTTTTTAAAGACTGAAAATAGAATGAGTTATAGCCAACATACCTCTGCACAAAATGTATCCCAGGGAGAAATGAAACCCTAAACAAAACAATGGAGTGGCGGGAGGGAGGTAGCCCCGCCCATTTCTGCAGGTAACGCCTCTTGATTTATTGCACCCCTTCCATCTGCATGCATGACATGTTCTAGAACAGTATTTAACAAGATGTCTTCTTTTTTACAGTAAACGAGAGGCACTTTGTGGCAACCACAGGCATCATTATAACATATTGCACAAATCAGCTAAAAACTAGTGACAAGAAACTTAACCTACACACTGGCACCTTTAAAATGATTTTACATTGTTTTAAAGCTGAACCTTAATTTTTTATGCTGCCTGTGAACTCAAGTTTTAACCCATGCCACAAAGGTTCCCGTAGGAATTTGTACTTTATATTAAGGTACTGTGGTAACATGTTTTGAGAAGCGGGGCTACAGATGTCTAGGGGACAGCCTGTGGCCTTATAAGGACATTTCTATATCGCCAGCACCACCCCAACGTCAACATATGTGAAAATGGCGTGTTTCTATGTTTTGTAGTAAAGAGAGGAAGATAAGTGTTTCCAATGACATCGGTGTGCATCGTGTGATTTTAATCAATAATAAGTAGGCATTGCCTACTAATTGGTTGACGTCATTGGAAACACTAATCTTCCTCTAAGCTTTTCCAACGACATCAACCAATTAGACAATTACTAGGCAATGCCTACTCATAATTGGTAAAAAATCACACGATGCACACCGCTGTCGTCATTAGAAACACTAAGTCTTTTTTTTTTTTACTACTAAACATAAAAACTGGAGATGAATATGAAGTTGAAACATTTAGAAACGTCTCTTAAACATCAGCTCCTTAATAGTGAGGCCATTGAATAGATTCATTCATTTAAGCTGCTGAACATCCAGAATAGTAAGCAAATTATCCAGATCATTATTTTTATTTTATTTTGCCCGATAGTTTACCTGCAGTCTTTACCAGAAAACATGAATACCGTCATAAATAGTTAATTCATTTTTTTTCTCCAGATTTTTATTTATTTTCTTTTTAAAAAATAATAAAAACGGTCAGGACATCTTCAGTCAAAGTAACACATTTTTGTTTCTATGGGGGATGCATGAATACAAGATTAAGGTACACCTAGCCATTTTATTCCACTGTCCTTCACTGATCGCAAGGCTTTTGTTTTACTGAGGGGAACAAGGGGGGGGGGGAATACTGTGAACCACTGACTGAAACCCTGCAAAACCCTGTAACAGTGCAAAAGTCTATTGCTCTATTAATAGTAGCTTTAAATAAGTACTTTAACTATCAAGTCAGTGCTTGGGCAGAATGGTAGATTTCAAAGCAATAGCAGAGTAAGCATTGTCAACTTCAAGTAAGGCAAAGAATATCTCCCATAGGCCCGCCTTAAACCACAAAGAAAAAAAACAAACAAAAAGAAATAATTATCAAGCTTACTTTTGGCAGGTTTTCAGTGATGTCATAAAATGTAAACAAAAAAAAGAGAATTCTAGATGAAGTGTTCCTGGGTTGGCTAGTGTACACTTTGCGATGAAGGAAAACAACAAAGAAACTAACAGACACCTAGGGAAAGTAGTCTTTCTAAAACAAGTCGAGATGAAACGGCATGTGCGATGGATTGTTGAAAAGAGGGAAGCCTTAATGTCAAAGAGTACAGGAAAAAGGCAGCTTACATCACTACCCTCAGTGAAGATTCCTGGGTCTGGCCCATGGCAGGTCACCGGCCAGGTGTTACAAAAAATTTGGCATGCTGAAAATAAATGATACATATTTAAATATTCGCATATATAGGGCTCTTTATATTTCTTAAGCAAGCACAAGACTTTGTCAAATCTGTAGCTGCGCTAATTTCATTCCAAACGGAATGAAACCTGTTTTTGAAAAGGAGAACAGAAAAAAGGGAAATAACTCTAGCCAATTAGGGACAGCAACTGCAGAAGAATGCACGTGGGCGTGCACGTTAAAAGTTCTCACACAGAAGTAGTGTATTCCACTGAAGCTATTTGCACCATCTGATAGGTACAGATTCTTGGCTCCGTTATTGTTGGATCGTAAGCATGCAGCTTGGCAGTTTCAGCACCTTTTGTTGGATGTACAAGTGATCCGGATCTCATTGGACCAAATACGATAAGGCTGCAAAACAAGTCGTTCAAGGAGCCAAAGATCTGATGTCTCAAGAGAAAGAAACCTAAAAAGAGCTCCTAAGTTCACATATTATCCACTCCTGGGTTGATCAAAACCTGCATTAACACCCCTGGATCGGTTCACAGACGAAGCTTTACATTCAATCCCTCTCTGTCGCCTCAGTCTCTGACCAAGCGTCACCTCTCAGCCCATTGGCTTTACTGAACACTCGTCAAGAATAGGTCAGCATCACCACTTCTGGTGCGTCCATGCACATACTAAGATCACAAAAAGTGCAGTTTGTCAAAAAAACGTTCTGGAGACTGAGGCGGGAAACCGACCCAGATGCACTAATGCAGGTTTTGATACATGATGTAGTACAGCATGTTATAAGGTACACATTTGGAACAGATTACCCCTCTATAAGTACATGACACACTGAACATGAATTCAAAACATGATACCATTGTCCTCCGTGATGATCACCAAAACTGTATCATGTTACCGTTAACATTGGGGGGTACACGCTATGTACTGTATCATAAAAACACAAGGGCATTCTAAATGGCTTGTCAAAAGACAAATTATACCTGCAGATACCATGAAAATAAAGGATGCAATTTTTGACCTCCTGGCTAAATACAATCAGATCTTAAATGACTTTAGAAATCTTTTCTTTTCATTTTTTTTTTTTTTACATGGTATACAATTTATTAAACATGGATTCCAATAACATGCACACCGTTTGTCATTTAACTATAGTGTTCACGCTATTGCAACACTGGCTTCCCTGCCGTTTTGTCTTCTATTTCTCTAAACATAAAAACGTCAACAATACATGTGATACTGGGTTTCTGCATACCTTGAACAGACACGATAGAAGGAATGGACATTGGTTAGATGTCATGTAGCTTAATAATTATAATAATCACAATAATAATAATCATAAGTCGACTGGAGAAATTCTAACATGCAGTTTACACTGCACAAACTCATGTGAGACCACCTGCAAAAAGCACAAGAAGCATTCACAGTAGACAGGATGGAAGGGGTGGTAGGTGGGGGTGGTAGGGGCATGGTGGAGGGCAATGGATGAAGGGGGAGAAAGTGACAGAAGCACTGGCCTTGGTTTCCACAGGAGATGGAGCAGTGAAATTTAGATTTCCAATAAGCCTTTCCCATACCGGATCTCACATCTCCTGATAGCGGAAATCTTCTTCTCTAGTCTTTGACACAAAAAGGTATATTACATTACAGCTACTGAACCTTTTCCCACTCAACAACGGTGTCAATACTTTCCGGATGAACGAGCTGGGGAGGGGCAAAAAAATTCAAACGAATAAAGAAAACTTGGTCAGCATTATTGTTCCTAAAATTGGTGGCATATTCCGTGACGCAAATGTCCTGCTGCCGTAGGTTGGTGGGGGAAAAGGTACTTGCTTTGCAGTTTATATTCAAGTTCCTTTTTTCCCCTCTGAAAGTACGTATTTTTTTAATATTATTTTTTTTTACTTCCCATAAAAATCTCACACTTTTGTTATTTGCGTGTGTTGCTCGTCGTCGAACGGTTCGTTCTCCGGGTCAGAGTCTGTGGTGTCAGAGTATCGGTAATGGTCCGCCTCGTTGTCACTAACGTCTGGCGTTAGCGAGGTGGAAGTGCTGGCCTCAGAGTTGAAGATGTCCTCCACAGTCTTGGTAAAGTACAGCTTCACCTGGAGTTCCAGAGAAAACAACATTATTATCCACATACTGAAACATGGCAATGGATCTATACCAAGGGGAAACTACATTTCATCTGAGTGAAGCGGCGAGAGCATTTGGTCACACTATTTGGATAGTCCATCTGTAGATGCTCTAAAGATGGTCATACTATCAACAAACAAATCTGTTGATAAGCAACTGCTTGCTAAGGTTACAGTTAGGTTTAGAATAAGGGTTAAGTTTAGTAGATGGTCTGTAGAGGCTCTATAGATGGACTATCCAAATAAAGTGTTACCGCGCATTCATCTTGGCACAAAACATTAGTCAAATATTTCGCCAAACATTTATCAAAAAGGTATTTTTTCCCAACCCCCCCCCAATCAAAGAAAGTCTCATTCACCTGACTGACCTTGAAGTTGGGGGAGAAGTATCTGTTTGCTTTATCCTTGTTAGCCTTGTCCAGGTCGTTCTTCGTCAGTGAGAGGATCAGGTAATCCTTGTCGTTGTCCCCCGTTCCTCCTGTTTGGATTCCTGCCTGCTCCTTTGGCAACGTCCCATTCTCAACCTTCTCAAAGTTCTCCTCTGGTCCAGGGACGAAAAAGGTGTTCACCCAGAAATGGAACATCTTGTCCTGATGGAAAAACACATGGAGGAGGGAGAGGTGAATATAAGGGAAAACTTAACTCCAAAAAGCAGTTATATTATCTCAACCACAACACAAAATATAGGCTATACTCCAATCCAAAATCATAACTCATGATGTGTTTTTTCAGTTAAATCTTGCCATCCCTCAGTGAATCAGAATAGGCTACAATACCTCATTTAATATGCATATAAAAATCTAATCGTACAATCAAGAACCACACCTTCTTCATCATTTTATTCTGTTTGTGGAAGAACTCCACCTTGATGTCTCCACACACGGGCAGCGGCTGGGGGAACTCGAAGAACACGTACTTCTCCTCCTTCCGCGTGTTCACCGGGTTGGACGTGTGGATCTTTACCTTAAGCTGGTACACGACAAACTGAGGATCTGTGAACAACAAGTTAACACCAGTCACTCTCCTGGTGGAGACACAGCAACTACAAGCAAGTACATATTATTTACATCTCGGTAAATTAGGAATGGAGGACCGAAAAGAAAATGGATAGAATTACGTAGTACCACTGCCAGGAATATTAAATATAGAAAAGACAGTTACAATAACATGCTATAAGGGCCCTAAGAAGAGAAGAGTTGACCAAAACCAAGCTCATATAAGGGAGCACTTCGGCTCTAGGATCAGTCCACTGAGGTGGTGGGTGGTGGTGGGGGGGAGGGCAGAGGTGATAGTTACCATACCAAGTTCAACACCAACTTAAAAACCGACAACAACCTCGTAGTCAACAGGTAAACATTGGATGAAAAGCTGATTAGTATTACCCCAGTGCCAATTCCCTTTCCTGAAACCATGTGGAATCTGCTCACTCTTGTTTTTAACGGAAGTGTCCCCTTGGAAAGAGAAAAGGAGATTAACAGAGTCCTGCGGCAGCCCTGCCTGGGCTTAGGTACAGCTGGGTTATCATCAGGGCTATGTACAAACACACTGTAGAATATACATGCTTACAACCATTCATAAACCGATTCTAACTCACCATTTCAACATGCGGACAGCAACGTCCCGTTATCAAGTTATTAGGACCTTAACTAGTATAATAATTATGTAACAGCGCTTAAAGCAATCATAATATTCATAGTAATGCATTTCCTAACATATAGGCCTTAAAAAGCATCAGCTAACATTTTCCAGAAAACAATCTTTGCATTACTCGCATTTACTAAGAATCATTTTATGAGGGGCAGGGGCTTGGGCGTTGAAATTAAAACCACTTCAATACTTTGCGTGTTGTGCCATGTGAACTTACCACATAGGGTGTGTGTGTGTGTGTGTGTGTGTGTGTGTGTTGTGTGTGCGTGTGTGTTCAGAATAGGGCTAAAATAACAGGGATTGACATTAAAGTCTGAAAGGCACTTGCCAATCAGCAAGTCAGGGGTATTTTTCATTTGCCCGAAAATGTAAATGAGCTATTTACAAGCAGAAGTGCCATATATTGCCTGCCTTTCACCTACACATAATGGAGGAATCAGAAAGACCAGTACTGGAATTCTTTGTGTTTTCACTTGTTTTTTGGTTATATAAAAAAAAAAATATATATATAATATATATATATATATATATATATATAAATTAACCTGCCCAATAGGCCAACCTCAGAAAAGGCTGCTCCGTTCACTTGCCCCAGGCAATAGGTCAACCGATAGAAATATGGGTAAACAAGTGAAGAGGTTAAAACGCCAGACACAGCTGACAAGAGCAGCCACTGACGACAACCACACAGAGTCGGGGGTTGTTATAGCATAGTAGGGCTGGGAACTACCAGGGACCTCACAATACGATATTATCACCACACCTAGGTGCCGACACCAGTTGTATTGCGATTCGCACGGTTCTATATGCATTGCGATTCGATACTGCGATTTGATTGTGATTTGATGTTCCAAACATATTGCTCACTAAATCTCTGCTGCAGAGAGAGCATGAGAACATTTGTTTTGATGAGTCATGGTAATAATAAAGTGCTGAAAACATGTTGGCTCACTATTTAAAAAGAAGATGAAGAACAAGCTATACTTTTGGCCAGTGTTTCCCCTATATTTATTTAGCATCGGAAGGCCGCTGATGCTTAATCATTGCCGCCACTCCAAAAAATAGGATTTGTAAAAAGAAAATAATTTTCCGGATGGTAAAACGTTTTCAGTATAAACTTAAACGACTAAAATCCAGATATAAAGTATCTAGAAAAGATAATGGAGCTATACATTTTAAAATAAGATAATATTTGAGAACCACCAATTTTTTTTTACTATACAGTCAGGGAGAATCTAAAATTCAAAATATGTCATGGCATGGGGCCCCCATTGATTTTGTTAAAATATTTGACTCACTCAGATAGCATAACATGACATAAGCAATGGCAAAATGTATAGAATTGCAGGAAATTAGCTTTAACAGCAACATTTTGTTTCTGCGGCCAAGTGGAGGGCCTCTAAAATGTTGGGTTGGAGGCCGCGCCATTGGCCAAGGTCCACTACCACCCACCACGCTAACTGTGCCACCGCTGCTGGAAACTATTCTAGGGGAAACACTTGTTGCCGCAGGTACAGCCAACTAGAGCTAGCTACCAAAAAAGTAATAATTAGTCAAATGTATCGATATAACGTACACTGAACAAAAATATAAAATGCAACAATTTAGAAGATTCTACGGAGTTACAGTTCATATAAGGAAACCAGTCAATTGAAATAAATGAATTAGGCCCTAACCTATGGATTTAACATGACTGGGCAGGGGCGCCTGGGAGGGCATAGGCCCACCCACTGGGGAGCCAGGCCCAGCCAATGATAATGAGTTTTTCCCCACAAAAGGGCTTTATTACAGACAGAAATACTCCTCAGTTTCATCAACTGTACGGGTAGCTGGTCTCAGACGATTCCGCAGGTGAAGTAGCCGGATGTGGAGTTCCTGGGCTGGCATGGTTACATGTGGTCTGCGGTTGGACATACTGCCAAATTCTCTAAAACAACGTTGAGGCGGCTTATGGTAGAGAAATTAACATTCAGTTCTGGCAACAGCTCTGGTGGACATTCCTGCATTCAGCATGCCAATTGCACGCTCTCTCAACTTGAGACATCTTTGGCATTGTGTTGTGAAACAAAACTGCACATTTTAGAGTGGCCTTTTATTGTCCCCAGCACAAGGTGCACCTGTGTAATGATCATGCTGTTTAATCAGCTTCTTGATATGCCACACCTGTCAGGTGGATGGATTATCTTGGAAAAGGAGAAATGCTCACTAACAGGGATGTAAACTAATTTGTGCACAACATTTGAGAGAAATAAGCTTTTTGTGCATATGGAATATTTCTGAAACATGGGACCAAGACTTTACATGTTGCATTTATATTTTTCTTCAGTATAATTCCAAAATAATATTGCAATATATCGTTTTTTTACCCTCATCACTATATCATAGGTCCATATAAGTCTTCTGGCAATCCAGCAAGGTATATGCCGCCTTCAAAACAACTGGGAACTCTGAAATCTCCGAATTACAACTTCAGTGCGTTCAAGACAACTGGGAACTCAGAGGGGAAAAAAAGAGCTCAGACTGGGAAAAATCTTTTTGAATTGTCATCCAAACTTGAAATTCCAAGTCGGAAACTTTCTAGAGCTCCGACTTTCTGACCTGAAGATCATTGACGTCATGATTTGACCTTGTCGGTCGTCCCCCCCCAGTTCCCAGCTGTCTTGAACGCACGAATAAACCCCTTATTCTCTGATTATACAGCCAAGTCAAATGACCAGTGAGCCAAGCAAAATAATAGCAGTGAAACCACACCATTTGGACTAGCATAACCATCATTGCAAAACGGTACGTTCCACTGTGGTTAATGTCTGCTTTGCATGGAGAAAACGGCAAAATAACATGCAACATCGAGAAGCAAAGCTGTGCAGAGCAAAGCAGAGAACAGAGGCAGGACAATTAACTGAAGCTCACATTGTGAAAGTGTGAAAGCCAGTAGCACACAAGCCAAAGGTCAGGAGGATACAGGAAAGAAACAGGATTGACAAGGAAATCACTTACGACATGTTCCGCCACTGAACATGGGCACCGTCTCGAACACCATCTTGTGGAAGAGCAGAGCCACTGGTTTGTAATCCAGCTGGTTCTTGAGAAGGTGACTATAGTAGTAGACATAGCGCCTCTGGCTGGGGATTGTCACTCCCTGAATGGGACAGAGAAAAACTTAGTGAAACTGAAGATTTTCTCCGTCAGTCAAGAGGATTTTTACGATTTGAAGCCTTTATAGGAGCCTCAAAAATGTTCAAGTTATGAAGATAAGCCTTTTGACCAATCACGTCAGATCTTTTCACATCAGCTCGTTTTCAGAGCTGATCTGATTGGTCAAAAAATACCATTTAGATAAATTATTGGGCTGCCTGTGTAAACGCAGCCAGACTGGAACAATAAAATGTACCTTCTTATCTCTGGTCCTGACTTCTCCGTAGAAGTCCAGAGCTTCTTGTGCTTTGAGGAACTTGCCCCGGTGTAACAGGTAAGCACAGATCATGACACCCGTACGTCCCTTTCCAGCTTTACAGTGAATCGCCGCCACGTGATTGTCGTCCTCACTTAACCACTGGTCAAGATCTTCGCAGAACGGTTTGATCAGCTCCAGCTGCGGGGGATTGTGATCCTCAAACGGATATTGTGCAACTGGAGAGAGACGGAGATAGACCGAGCTCAGTTAGATATTGTCACACATGGGTTTTTTAGTGAAAGACTAAACTAATCAATGACAGCCTGAATGAAAGTGATGATGGTTTCACTGCGATGTAATGTCTCACCTCTGCAATTGAATTTGGTTGCGTCATAATGTCGCTCAGCGCACCTATAAAGGGACAAACAAAAATGTTGTTATAGTAGCAGACTACAAAGGGGAGCATTCTTTCATTTGTATAATCGATCTATCAGCATACAGATTATTACAGCAACTGCAACCTCATGAATTCCACAGATTCAGCCAACTTAAATAATATATATATTGTCTTTATTGCACTCTCTCTACATCTCATGTTCACTAAGTTAAGATGATTGTTATCAATGAGAAACCTGAGGTACTTTAGTATCTTTGCAGCTCGCAGTGAGTCTACTGGTCCTCTGTAGCTCAGCTGGTAGAGCACGGCGCTTGTAACGCCAAGGTAGTGGGTTCGATCCCCGGGACCACCCATACACAAAAAAAATGTATGCACGCATGACTGTAAGTCGCTTTGGATAAAAGCGTCTGCTAAATGGCATATCATATTATTATATTATTATTATACTAGGTAACGACTTCATACTGAGTAAGTAGGACGTTGTAAATTCCTTTTCCAGGGTAAAACTATACCAAACGGTTATGTTCTAACCCTTCAGAACAATGCTTAGGCCTATCCACAAAGAACCACTGGGCCCTATATTTCAAAAGTGATCTATCTGTATTTCGCCTAATGAATAGGATTCAACTCATAGAAATAGAATGAATAGAACAGACGAATCATTGACTTAAAATGGGGACTCCCGTTCTATTCACGCTTTCTATGCATTAATCCTATACGATAGGCAAAAACCGGATAGACAACTGGGCCCTGATGACTAAAGGCAAATAAGTGGCTACTGTGGTTTACATTCTAAAACAGAAGGGCTTTTCCTCCTCCAGGCCTATATTCCACAGACATTTTCTGCATTACATCAGACAACTTTGCAGCACAGCAACCGCCGCTGACCATACTGCATATGCACAAGCAAAATAGACAGACACCAGGGTACTCACAGATTATATATCTTGTAATGATTTTTGTGCTTAGAGTCCAGAAACCTGAGAGAGAGAAGATAATTACTTTTCCATCCAGAACACATTTGAGCTAATTCTGGTCCGACTTAAACCTTTCAACACTAACGGCCCTCTAAATCACTAGCTTAAACTGAGCATAATGACAGCATGGCGCAGACAGGGGGGGCAGACTGACGGGCTCTCAGACAAGCTAAATAATACAGTGTTACAACATCGACTATCAGTAGGGTACGTTGGTTGCTCAGGTTGGCTCACATCTAAAAACGACAGGTTCTGGGAAATGACAAAGGCTGTTTTCTCTGTTCACATTTCCAAAAGCCCACACCTTTGAGTCTACATCCTCAAATCAAATTGTTTATTTGTCACATGCGCCGAATACAACAGGTGTAGACCTTACCGTGAAATGCTTACTTACAAGCCCTTAACCATCAATGCAGTTAAGAAAATATTTACTGAATAAGTAACAATCAAATAACGAGGCTATATACAGGGGATACCGGTACCGAGTCAATGTGCAGGGATACAGGTTAGTCGAGGTAATATGTACATGTAGGTAGGGGTAAAGTGACTATGCATAGATAATAAACAGCGAGTAGCAGCAGTGTAAAAAAAAAAAAAGGGCCTCAATGCAAACAGTCTGGGTAGCCATTTGATTAATTGTTCAGCAGTCTTATGGCTTGGGGGTAGAAGCTGTTAAGAAGCCTTTTGGACCTAAACTTGGCACTCTGGTACCGCTTGCCATGCGGTGGCTGAAAGAACAGTCTATGACATGGGTGGCTGGAGTCTTTGACAATTTTTAGGGCCTGCGTAAATCGAAGGAAATTGTTTGGACAATAAAACAAGCAGGGTCAGGTTAAGTTCACAGGTGGCTTGCAGGTCACTCCTTTGGTTTCAGTTGACACATCAGGCAAGCCTCTGAAGCTGGCATGACAGCCTGCATTTCAAACATTATATTCAGAGTCCGACCTCTGTCGCCCATATAACGATAATCAGTGAGAAACATGATCAGGGATTTTTCTGCCATATAAACCCTTGGGCAGGCCTCCTAAGCGTGTTTTTGGGACACCTAAGACCCAACTGTAAAACATTTATAATAATAATAATAATAATTTGGGAAGGAAAAACATTTTCAGTGTAAACTTAAGACTTAAACCAGATATAAAGTATGTAGAAAAGATAATGGAGCTATAACTTTAAAAAATAATATAATCTCTGAGAACTAACATTCACCAAAAGAGTCAGGGGAACTAAAAATTCCAAAAACAATACATTTAACAGTATTGATTTTGTTATTAAGTTTGAGCAAAAGAAGGCAAAATGCATAGAATTGCCGGAAAATATCTTTACAAAATGCTAAATTCTCTCAGCCCCATGGCAGAATACGTAAAATCCCTGGAAATTAGCTTTAAAACTGCAACATTTTCTCTCAGCGCCATGGCTAAATGTGTAAAATTAACAGAAATGTACTTTAGAAATGCTAAAATATATCTTGCCGCCATTGAGAAATTCTGATATTTGCAGGAAATTGGCTTAAAAATGATAACATTTCTTTTTTTTTTAAACAAGATGGGGCCCTCTAAAATGTTCAGCCTCGCCGACTGTGCCCATTGGGTTTGGTTAAGGTAGTTAAGACATGTTACCTACCTGCTGTTTTCATAGTTTACTTTTTCCCCATTCCTTTACATTCTAAGAAACCCCTTTATTTTTGACAGGGACATCGACATGAACGTTTAGGAGAAGTACTTACCGTACTACGTCATCAATGTTGTTTCTGTAGACACCCTCAAGTCTTTCAGCAGGAAAGCCCATAGCAATGATGTTAGGATAAATATCTGAACGCAGGAGTCAAGGAAACCAGGAGGTTGGCTTCTTAAAGGTCAGACTAATGAAAGGAATTACACACACCTAGGCCAATACAATAACCCACACACAATTATGTTTGTTTAGCAATCGTCATTCAATTCACATAGACAATCATCGTACAATACAAACAGCTCCTTGATTTGCCCAAACATAGATGGCTTATATCATAGCTTACATCATACATGCATTGCTTATCACGACAGATCAATCACGGCAGAGCAGTATGGAGAACAGGACAGAGCCTGGGTAATATAGAGCAGAGCAGACCATCATCACCTCTTCGAAAGAAAAAGCATTACATCACTCACATCGATACAGGTATAAAAAACCTCAAGTGCTCTAATTTCCGCATGCCTTTTCACTTGGGAAATATATCCATGCACAAAAAATTGATTTATGCATACAAAGATGACCTATTTTGTCAAATAATTCATCAGAATTGGCTACTACTATATGAAACGCATACAAAACATGATCTCTAAATTATTCTTCCATGTTTACTGTTCATTTACTGAAACACGGGCCGTCTCGTCACAAACTTACGTATCCTGATAGTGTACTTTACATTTGAACTGGCATAAAATCACAATGACGTCATGCTCAAAAAGTACACGAGACTACTGCAATGACAAATGCACTGGTCAGCATGAGCAGAGCTTCACATGAGGTAACTGTTCCTATCAAATAAATAGTCAATGGAATGAATGGGATCAATTCAATTGTCACAGAACATAAGCATCTCTCTTGGTTGGACTAGATCTCCCTTGAAAATGAGATGTTATCTCAATGAGACTAACCTGAATAAATAAAGGTTAAATAAAATAAATAAATAAAATAGGCCTGCCATTTTCCAGCAACACCATTTAGGATAATCATTTTCATATTTGTAATAGCACAGTTAAGATCTGGTGTGGAGGCATTGCTGCCAATTTGAAATCTCATCACTATTTTAAAGCCAAACCCTAGAACTGGAGTGGAATCATTACATAACAGGAACAACCATGGCTACACTGCCTTCCCGAACACTGTCACAATGACCACACAAAGTCTGGCACAATAGATATCTCTAAATATGTTTGATGGAACAAGGTGATTTAGCTATAATCCCACGGTCTCACTCATACATATAACTCAAAAAATACTTAGTTTGGCAAACCCAGCTCTGTTTAGAACATTTTAAAAATGCACAGAGCTTCCTGAGAACACAACCTCCATCAAAGGGTCATAGCCACAGCAAAGAGAAGTTGACCAATTCAAGTACAAGAGATAACTGAACATGCTAATATTGTACAACAGTACTAAGCCACACTTCCTCCATCCAATTACGCTCATAACCTTTAATTGGCTTTTATCTATGTATTCTACATGCACCTACACTTTCACCATTTGATTGCATACCAAGGTTAGGTGACGCATTTCAGACATAGCCAACTTCTGAACAGTATTTTAGAGAATTCTCTTTTCCTGTCATTTGTCACTAAACACTTTATCCCTAATATTATATATATCAAATCAATACAAACATGCTGAACTCATTAAGCTAGACGAAAAAAGTGAAGACATCTGAAGAGAACCAAACCAATCGTCTAACAGTACTGATTACGTTCATTCAAGCGCCATGAAATTGGCACATTCCACCAACTAGCAAGTGCTATAATAAATAGTTACCCCTTACGCTGATAATGATTCAATGCTTTTGGGTCTTTGTCTGGCTAGAAGGAGAACGACTGATTGTGAATATAAAGTTAATCTAATCCATTATAGCTCGTTACATTATTATGTAAGCCAGAGGACCTTAATAATGCGTCGCAAAAAGGTTGATCTCTTTGTTCCCCATCCAGGGGAAGCTAACTATATATTACCCAACTAACCAGTTACATTTTCAGTTGACATCAACCAAACAATTAATTAAGACCTCAAATTATCAAGATAAATTTGCTAGACATAACGTTATCTACCTCGACATTAGCCAGCTACGTTATCCATGATGTTGAATCTCTCATTCAGTTATCATGATGACGATTGACGTGCAAACTACTAGCTAGCGAAGCTAACGTTATACAAGCTATGGGATTGATCTAGCTAGTTATCAAGGCTGCGTTAAGTTTCACAGGACATACACCGTTCTCAAATACTGTAGCAATTTAGCAAAGAGTAGGTTAGCATCGAACCTGGCTGGCTAATTAACCTAGCTAGCTAGCCAGCCAGCTAGTTGACCAACCAGTGACGAGTAAGCGAGCCAACCAACCAGACGTTCTGTCATTAGCTGCCTAGCTAGCTTTCACATAGCTAGCTAGCTTAGCTAACTATATATTTTTTAATTAATACTCACTGACTTCACTAATATTAGTTCACGTTAGCTAGCTAATCGTTTTTTGTAGAAAGGTTAAGTTAGCGATCTAGGTATTATAGCTAGTTAGGAAGGTAACGGTAATGCAGACAAATGAACATACTAGTCAGACATAAAAGCTAGCTAATATTACGGCCATTCAACAAAAAGGATACAAGTCAAGTCCAAGTCAAACCCATCCTCCTGGTATCTCCTTTTGTTTCGGCTGACAATTTCCTTTATGATTGCAGCCATATCTGTCACAGGAGTCTTTAATGTTTTTATATAACGAGAAAGTATTGTTGTTGCCTTTGTATGAAATGCTGCCAATATTTCTCCCTCGCAATCCCGTTGGTATCAAACGTTGACAGCTAGCTAAGCTAGCCGTGCTAGCTAGAATAGCTTCTGCTGCTGCTGGGTCATAAAGGAGGGCCTCACTCCGTTCCACCACAGGCCCGGCTTCCCAGATCCCACAATTTGACACAAAATCCTCCAGATGAATAGGTGATTAATTATCCAGCCCTCGAACCGTTGTATTTTAAGAGAGTACCAAGTATCTGATTTCGCCAAAGGCGCCGTGATTATGCCAGAAAAGCGGAGAGAAATCTCCCCGACGTTCCTTGCCCAGAATAGTGTCTGACTGTGACACACACTCGATCTCGGCACACACGTAGCTAGATATGGCTAGCGCATCTAGCTAGCATGTCAATTCTTCAACAAAAAAAAAGGAGTCATCCGACAAAACGATCCACGTCGTCGGAACTAAAAAATATGACCGAAAAATTGACAGCCTCCACCTTAAACATAGCTAACAAATCTGTGTGATTTTTTTTTATATTTTATTACTGGCCTGCACGTCTTCCCTGGCCTGACACGTCCCTCTCCCTACTGACTCGCTTCTCTCCGGCTGCACTCGCAAACTTCCATCATGGCTTCCGTTCCAATTGAAAAGGGCTACGATTGTACAGAATGTTATGCCGCAGTGTAAAATAGTTCTTCAAAGACATCTATCCGGCGAAACACCGCTAGGGCAACACGTAAAATAGTGCAGAATATATTGACAAAGCAATACATTATATAACGAAATATGTATCTTTCATTGTATAATTGCATTTATAAGAAATTATTTTCATCTGTGGCGGAAGGACATGGGCACAGAACAGGGAACTAGCTTCTCTATCATAGTCACGTGTTTCTATAATTAGGGAAGTTTACAATATTTCATTTAGGATTCATGACATTGACGTATATATAATCAAATCAGAGACTTTGCGTTGTGTAACTATATACTCGGTGTGCTGGATGCATTTGATGTAGCCATTTTAAACAAGTAATTCCATTGTGTCATGGCATTGTATAAGCCGTTGGATCAAATTGCAGGTGTATTTGATGAGGAATCAATACCTTGTTTGTTGCCTTTTCACTTTGCGTATAGATTAGGAAACAAAAATAAGAAATAAACAGTACCTTTCACTATGCATTGCGCTTATCACCATTTAAATGTTTCGATACTTGACAAATTCCAAGTTGTTGCACATTCTGCAGTGTATTGCAGCCTTTTCACTATGCATATAGACTAGGAACCAAAAATATACAGTTATTGCACATTATGTAGTGTCTGTCTTGGTACCTTGACTTTTCCTAGTTCTCTACCCGGACAGGAGCTTGTGAGCGAGTACTAGTTGTGGTCACTGGACTTGCGCGAATAGTTGTGTTATGGCGCCACCTGTCAGATTTGCATGGAACACGAAGCACAGTATCCTGACCTACACATTGAGTAAAAAAAGACAAAAACGTTTTATGATAGGGGAGTAGCTTATTTTGTACCATATGAGTTGTAGCCATCTCATTAAATCCATAGTTTTACATGTGTGGTTCTTTACCTTGAAGAATCTTCGTTCAACACTGTCCTATTCCACAGAAACATTGAGGAAATTATTTGACCGTTTCTATTCCAAAACGGTAGGGGGCATCTGTCAAGCAAATTGCGCCGAGCCTCACGCTGAAAGGGACATGAGCAAGAGTGGAAGCGCGAGGTAATTGTGAATTGTTTCGCTCTCAAGAAAAGGGCGCCATTGAAAGGAGTGATTACTGGGGTAGCAGTAAATGTAAAAGTGGATCAACTGAAGGAGATGATTCCCGGTGTGTGTGATGCTCGTCGTTTGGTGCGACGCAAACAGGGTGGCTAGAGTGTCAGTCATTGTCAGTCATTGTCTGTTCTTTTGAGTTTTGAAGTTGAGTCTTTGCCTGACAAAGTGAAATTTGGATATATAAATTATCCTGTGCGAGCATATGTGCCGAGTACATTACGATGTTACAGGTGTCAAACTTATGGGCATGTGGCAGCAGTATGTAGGAGGGAGATTCCAAAGTGTGAGACAAAAGAGTGTGAAGCAGTGGGGAAGGTATTGGTATGTGCTAATTGTAGGGGTGGCCATGCGGAGGCAGTGAAGAAAGTAGAGGAAGAGGGGTCAAGGGGGGGAGTGGTGAGAGTAGGAGATATGTACTAGTACAGTGGGATAGGCAAACAAGTGATATATGTTAAAGTAAGATTGGATTTTTAGCGTTTATAGCAATGGTTATTAATTGTACTGCAGGGATGGAACGTAAATCGAAGAAAATGGAGGTTGTGGTGGCAAAGAGATATTCGGGTGTGCGAGACTTGACAGCAGAAGAGTTAAGTGGTGATGTCCCATCATTTCAGGTTGAGGGCATGAGGTAGGAGTGAGTGAGTATATTTTTTATTTTTTTGTCATTTAGCAGACGCTCTTATCCAGAGCGACTTACAGTTAGTGCATACATTTTCATACTGGCCCCCGTGGAAATCGAACCCACAACCCTGGCGTTGCAAGCGCCATGCTCTACCAACATTTACATTTTAGTCATTTAGCAGACGCTCTTATCCAGAGCAACTTACAGGAGCAATTATGGTTAAGTGCCTTGCTCAAGGGCACATCAACATATTTTTTCACCTAGTCGGCTCGGGGATTAGAACCAGCGACCTTTCGGATACTGGCACAACGCTCTTAACCACTAAGTTACCTGCCGCCCTAGTCCAACTGAGCTACATTGGGCCTAGTGGAGAAGGGTGGGGTTAATTATTAGTAATAGTTTTTGAATTTGTGAGTGTAGTGTTAGATGTTAGGGTATTTCTTTGCTTTGCTTTATTTTATTTTTCAAGGAAAATAAAAGGGAGTTGTACTTCAGTCTAGTAGGTGGCGGTAATGCAACAAAGTGGATGCCAACCGCCGTTAAACCTCATTGAAGAAGAAGAAGAAGAAGAAGAAGGAAGCGGGAGGTGGAATTTGAAAGAACAGTCGGGTTCATTCAGGTCCTCCTGGAACAGTCGTGTGCACGGGAGGATTTACAAGTGGGATGCGCTGTTGAGCGCTACATCCCGAGGGGTTCGGCTGATTGTACGGAGATTGTGAGAGCCGATTAAATGGCGTCCCTTGACAAGGCAAGAACAAGATGTATGTCAGGAGAAGTGCAGTATTACCATAAGGAGACGTATACTTGGAATACGGAGGAGGAATGGAGGGGAAAAAGAGAGGCAGAGGAGGTCTAGGAGGAAGAGGGTGAGCTTGAGTCGGTTAAAAATGGCGGGGAAAAGAGAGATGGTTTGTTAAAGAAGAATGGTAGAAAGTGTAAGCAGAGTGAGTTGAAGACAGGAGGAGAAATGGAGGTGAATGAGGACGAAGTATCGGAGGTGGTAGGTGTGGTGAAGTTCTCGGAGCCCGAGGCTTGCATCGAGGGTCAGGATAAAGCTGAGTCTGTGACAGTAGGAGTGGATGGCGGTGTCCTATCCGTTCAGGCTGTTGGCATGAAGTAGGACTAAATAGATTTAAATAGTGGAGTATGGTATTTTATTATTTTTAATGTTTTGTGAGTGTAGTGTTAGATGGTAGGTTATTATTATTATTATTATTATTATATAGATATATGTTTTAAGCAAAGTATAAGGGAGTTATACTCCAGTCTAGTAGGTGGCGGTAATGCAACATTTATTGGATGCCAACCGCCGTTAAACCTCATCGAAGAAGAAGAAGAACGTGCGAGGTGAGTGTCACGACCAGTCCAGAACACAGATTATGGTTAATTTGATTTTGTACATTATTTTTAACGTTTTAATTACAAATAGATCGATCAATACAACACATTTCACAAGGTGTCCGGCTAATGGATTTTTTTTCTACAAAGTAACGACAGTAATTCAGGCACGAGGCTGCATGCTAACTGGAAGGTCAAAGCTAACAAAATCAAGCCAAGGTTTCAGTTTTGTAACACGCAAAGTGAAACTACTAGCTAGCTAGTGGTCTTTTCACAGTTTCGATTATTGTCCGTATTGTATGTATATATTTCTTATATAGACTTAAAGTAACTCCAATTCCATCATCAGGTATGTAGCTCATATCATATTCCTAGCTAGCTAACTAATCAACAACTGTCAACTGCTGTCGTGTCAAGCAGGACACTACAGTACAGATATTTTTGCCGGCATTGTTAGCTTGCCAGTGTTATGACAGCCGTATGTCATCATGTTAGCGAGCTGCTAACAAGATTTATAGGATGGACATGATCATGTGATCTTAGCTAGCTAAACAGGATTGAGTGTCAGTTTAAGAAGTGATGTAATTTCTCAGCTAATGTCTAAACCTATTTTCCATGAGGATTTTCTGAATTTAAGTTGTATTCACACATTGTTCTTGTTAGATAAAGAGCACAGCACTTGTATAGTAGCTCAGCTTTATTGTTCAATTTCAACTGTGATCAAGTTTGGAGAATGTAATTTTGTTTTCCAGCCCCCAGACATCTAAGAAGATGGTGTTGAAGGAGATTTCAACTGAAAGTATTGCTCGGCCCTTGGGCCGCAATGAAGTCCTTGGTTTACTCTTCCGACTGACCATATTTGGTGCAGTCACCTACTTCACCATAAAGTGGATGGTTGATGCTATTGATCCCACAAGGAAACAGAAAATGGAAGCACAGAAACAGGTGAAGTTTCCAATATAGCCAAGTTTGACCGGTTTGCTTCTGAGCATCTTCTGTGGATATGTATCATGTTTGTTGGGACTGTATTGGAATGTGCAAAGCTAGATAGATGGCTATTGACAGGTGGGTTTTTTCAGGCAGAGAAACTCATGAAGCAGATCGGTGTGCAGAATGTCAAACTCTCAGAGTATGAGATGAGCATCGCAGCACATCTGGTGGACCCATTGACCATGCAGGTAACAGAGCTGCTTCAATACACAATTTCTTGAACCCAACATTTCATGACATCTGTTACAGGCTTTGGTTTTTCCATTTATATTTTGAGGTTGGACGTTAGCACGTTGGGCGCACCGATTTGGCGTCACCTCGTTAGTCAGTATGTGTTACAACTGTGCTGGCTTGTCATCTCGTTAGTCAGAAGGCGTTTCACCTGTGCTGGCACGGGATATTTAAGAGTGGCTGGCCCAGTGCTCCAGTTATCTTGAGAGATTTGTTGGCGCTCCCTAATTGATTTCTAAGAAATTGTGCTTTTATTTGATCTTCCCTGTTAGTTTTGCTCCACCTTTTGGTTTGCCTCCTGTCTAAGTTTGGGGTGGGTTTTAATTTTGTTTGCTCTTCTTGGGCAAATTTAGTGGCCGCCCATGGTGGGTGTCTTTTTTTAGGTCCCAGTTGTTGTTGCTAGTCAACTTTCAGTGGACACCCCGACGAGTGTCTTTCAGAACCATTCCTATAACCCCACCTGTTTCGTTTTGGTTGTTTGTGACTCTGTTAGTTCCCCCTTATGTTTGAGTGACAATTTTTGGTGTCTTGCTGGGGAACGTAACAACATTCAACAGAAACAAATATACAGGTAACTGCCAAAATATAGGAAACACTATAAAGTGTCTTAATAGGGCGTTGGGCCTCCACGAGCCGCCAGTACAGTTTCAATGCGCCTTGGCATAGATTCTACAAGTGTCTGGAATGCAATTGGAGGGATGCGACACCATTCTTCCACAATAAATACATTTTTTGTGTGTTTTGTTGATGATGGTGGTGGAAAATGCTGTCTGAGGCGCCGCTCCAGAATCTCCCATAAGTGTTCAATTGGTTTGAGCTCTGTGACTGACACACACCCCCATTAAACCCCCTATGCTACTTTGAGACCCCTCTTTCGAAGTTACTGAGATCTCTTCTAGCCATGGTAGCCAAAATAATGGTAGCCAAAATTTTTATACATGACCCTAAGCATGATGGGATGTTATTTGCTTAATTAACTCAGGAACGACACCTACAGTGCATTAAGTATTCAGATCCCTGGACTTCTTCCACATTTTGTTGATTACAGCCTTGAGTCTTCTTAGGTATGGCACTACAAGCTTGGCACACCTGTATTTGGGGAGTTTCTCCCATTCTTCTCTGTAGATCCTCTCAAATGCTGTCAGGTTGGATGGGGAGCATCGCTGCACAGCTATTTACAGGTCTCCAGAAATGTTAGATTAGGTTCAAGTCCGGGCTTTGGCTGGGCCACTCAAGGACATTCAGAGACTTGTCCCGAAGCCACTCCTGCATTGTCTTGGCTGTGTGCTTAGGGTCGTTGTCCTGTTGGAAGGTGAACCTTCGCCCCAGTCTGAGGTTTTTCATCAAGGATCTCTCTGTACTTTGCTCCGTTCATCTTTCCCTCGATCCTGACTAGTCTCCCAGTCCCTGCCACTGGAAAACATCCCCACATGATGCTGCCACCATCGTCCTTCACTGTAGGGATGGTGCCAGGTTCCCTCCAGACGTGACACTTGGCATTCAGGCCAAAGAGTTCGATCTTGGTTTCATCAGACCAGAGAATCTTGTTTATCATGGTCTGAGAGTCCTTTAGTGCTGCATAGATGCTTGTCCTTCTGGAAGGTTCTCGCATCTCCACAGAGGAACTCTGGAGCTCTGTCAGAGTGACCATTGGGTTCTTGGTCACCTCCCTGACCAAGGCCCTTTTCCCCTGATTGCTCAGTTTGGCCGGGCAGCCAGCTCTAGGAAGAGTCTTGGTGGTTCCAAACTTCTTCCATTTAAGAAAGATGGAGGCCACTGTGTTCTTGGGGACCTTCAATGCTGCATACATTTTTGGGGACCCTTCCCCAGATCTGTGCCTCAACACAATCCTGTCTCGGAGCTCTACGGTCAATTTCTTCGACCTCATGGCTTGGTTTTTGCTCTGACATGCACTGTCAACTGTGGGACCTTATATAGACAGGTGTGTGTGTTTCCAAATCATGTCCAATCAATTGAATGTACCACAGGTGGACTCCAATCAAGTTGTAGAATCATCTCAAGGATGATCAGTGGAAACAGGATGCACCTGAGCTCAATTTCGAGTCTCATAGCAAAGGGTTTTAATACTTACGTAAATAAGATATTTCAGTTTTTTATTTTTAATACTTTCGCTAAGATGTCTAAACCTGTTTTCGCTTTGTCATTATGGGGTATTGTGTGTAGATTGAACAAATTAATTTAATCAATTTTAGAATAAGGCTGTAACGTAACAAAATGTGGAAAAAGTCAAGGGGTCTAAATACTTTCCGAATGCACTGTGTGGAAGCACCTGCTTTCAATATACATTCCATCCCTCATTTACTAAAGTGTTTCCTTCATTTTGGCAGTCACCTGTATAATGTCTATGCCTCATAACTAACTGATGTGATGCTTTCTCTACAGATCACATGGGGTGATATTGCTGGCCTAGATGAGGTCATCACTGAGCTGAAAGACACTGTCATACTTCCCATCCAGATGAGGAACTTGTTCAAGGGATCCAGACTGCTTCAGCCACCAAAAGGTGAGTCTCTTGTTTCATACAAGATTTGCTTATTGAGACCGGTGCACAAGCATATCCTACTGATAGACACAATGCATATAAAGGTTCAACAGGACCCCCTTCAGTCTTTAGCCACTCCTCTTACCCCTTTCATTATGATAACAGGTGTGCTGCTGTACGGACCACCTGGCTGTGGGAAGACTCTGATCGCCAAAGCAACTGCCAAAGATGCTGGTTTCCGCTTCATCAACCTGCAGCCTTCCACCCTCACAGACAAGTGGTATGGAGAGTCCCAGAAACTGGCTTCTGCCGTCTTCTCTCTAGCCATTAAGCTCCAGCCCTCAATCATCTTCATAGATGAGATTGGTAAATGCTTATTTTACTGTTGTCCTTCGCAGTTGGTATACAGTACTTTCAAATCTTGTTTGGGTACTTCAGCTAAGCCAGTTATGTTTGTGATCATCCCCGTCTCCTGTTGATCCTGTAATGTTCCAGACTCTTTCCTAAGAAGCCGTTCCAGCTCTGACCACGAGGCCACAGCCATGATGAAGGCTCAGTTCATGAGCTTGTGGGATGGGCTGGAGACTGACTATAACTGCCAGGTGGGTCCATCATGAAGGAAAAGCAAAAGGGTGCGACGGGTCCGCACTCCAAAAGATATTGCGTAAAGCTTACTTCATTTAGTATTTGTATTATTTTCACTGCGTCAAGGATAGGGTACACAGACGTTTCGGCTTTGCAGCCTTCGTTGTGTAGGTAATTAAATACGTTGATCATCATGTGACCCCTGTCTGGTTGAGTCTCTCACCTGCCTCTCACCTTTTCCTCATGTAGGTCATCATTATGGGGGCCACTAACCGTCCACAGGATCTCGACTCTGCCATTCTGAGGAGAATGCCCACAAGATTTCACGTAAATCAGCCTGTGAGTATATCCACAAACTGTACAAGTTTATCAGTATATACATAGTACTATGAATAGGGCTGTGACGGTCATGGAATTTTGGATGACTAATTGGCCAGACAAATTACCACTGTCTCCGTAATAACCGCTCGAATAGAAAAATCCGGTCTTGGCTGAATGTGCTACCATAGAATTAGAATGAATAGAACGCATGTCTCCATTCAAGTCAATGATGGCATAATAGGTGGACTGGCGGCCATTGTGAGTGTACTCATAGGAGCAAAGCAGGAAGTGTACCCATCAATATGTGCTGTGATTTGTTTATTCAACTCAACTGGCATGACAAAAAATACATTCCATTGCATGAGCCACATCAGTTAACCACATTTTAAATGAACATTCTATATTACCATGGAAATGATTGCATCACAATACTAGGCAGCCATTGCGAGTGTACCCATGAGTTTACCAGTCCGATTGCCAGGGTTAGAGGTTCCAAGCCCATTCTATTTATCGTTTGCTACAACACCTTACTTGTTTTAGCAAGGGGCAACACAGTTTCATCATGTTAAGAGTCCAGGTTATCGCAGAAACTGACTCAACCGTACGAATGCCAGCCATCCCTTCAGTCAGCTGTTCGTCCCCCCACCCCCACCCTCCCAAAAAATATACAGTGCCTTCGGAAAGTATTCAGACCCCTTGACTTTTTCCACACTTTGTTAGGTTACAGCCTTATTCTTAAATTGATTAAATTGTTTTTTCCCCTCATCAATCTACACACAATACCCCACAATGACAAAGCAAAAACAGGTTTTTAGAAGTGTTCGTAAATGTATTAAAAATTAAAAACGATCACATTTACATAAGTATTCAGACATCTTTACTCAGTACTTTGTTGAAGCAGCTTTGGCAGCGATTACAGCCTTGAGTCTACTTGGGTATGACGCTACAAGCTTTGCACACCTGTATTTGGGGAGTTTCTCCCATTCTCTGCAGATCCTCTCAAGCTCTGTCAGGTTGGATGGGGAGTGTTGCTGCACAGCTATTTTCAGGTGTTTCCAGAGATGCTAGATCGGGTTAAAGTCTAGGCTCTGGCTGGGCTACTCAAGGACATTCAGAGACTTGTCCCGAAGCCACTCCTGCGTTGTCTTGGCTGTGTGCTTAGGGTCGTTGTCCTGTTGGAAGGTGAACCTTTGCCCCAGTCTGAGGTCCTGAGCGTTCTGGAGCAGGTTTTCATCAAGGATTTCTTTGTACTTTGCTGCGTTCATCTTTGCCTCGATCCTGACTAGTCTTCCAGTCCCTGCCGCAGCATGATACTGCCACCACCATGCTTCACCGTAGGGATGGTGCCAGGTTTCCTCCAGACGTAACACTTGGCATTCAGGCCAAAGAGTTCAACCTTGGTTTCATCAGACCAGAGAATCTTGTTTCTCATGGTCTGAGAGTGTTTAGGTGCCTTTGGCAAACTCCAAGAGGGATGTCATGTGCCTTTTTACTGAGGAGTGGCTTCTGTCTGGTCACTCTACCATAAAGGCCTGATTGGTGGAGTGCTGCAAAGATGGTTGTCCTTCAGGAAGGTACTCCCATCTCCACAGCGGAACTCAGGAGCTCTGTCAGAGTGACCATCGGGTTCTTGGTCACCTCCCTGACCAAGGCCCTTCTCCGATTGCTCAGTTTGGCTGGGCGGCCAGCTCTAGGAAGAGTCTTGGTGGTTCCAAACTTCTTCCATTTAAGAATAATGGAGGCCGCTGTGTTCTTGGGGACCTTCAATGCTGCAGAATTTTTTTTGGTACCCTTCCCCCAGATCTGTGCATTGACACAATCATGTCTTGGAGCTCTATGGAATATTCCTTCGACCTCATGGCTTGGTTTTTGCTCTGACATGCACTGTCTACTGTGGAACCTTATATAGACAGGTGTGTGCCTTTCCAAATCATGTCCAATCAATTGAATTTACCACAGCTGGACTCTAATCAAGTTGTAGAAACATCTCAAGAATGATCAATGGAAACAGGATGCACCTGAGCTCAATTTCGAGTCTCATAGCAAAGGGTCTGAATGCTTATGTAAATAAGGTATTTCGATTTTTTATTTTTAATACATTTGAAAACATTTCAAAAAACCTGTTTTTGCTTTGTCATTATGTGGTGTTGTGTGTAGATTGCTGAGGATTTGTATTTATTTAATCCATTTTAGAATAAGGCTGTAACGTAACAAAATGTGGAAAAAGTCAAGGGCTCTGAATACTTTCCAAAGGCACTGTATGTAATGGGGAATTGAAAACCCTAACAATCAAACGCAAACAATTCACACAATGAAGTTATGAAACAATGAATGTGCACAAATTGGTGGGAGAGCGCATTCTGGAGAGAGAAGTGCATTGTGCATGGTCAGTCCGACTTCTGCATTGGCCAAACTCCAAGCGGGCTGTCATGTGCCTTTACTGAGGAGTGGCTTCCGTCTGGCCACTTTTCCATAAAGGCCTGATTGGTGGAGTGCTGCAGAAATGGGTGTCCTTCTGAAAGGTTCTCCCATCTCCAAAAAGGAACTCTGGAGCTCTGTCAGAGTGACCATCGGTTCTTGGTCATCTCCCTGACCAAAGCCCTTCTCCCCCGATTCCAAACTTCTTCCATTTAAGAATGATGGAGGCCACTGTGTTCTTGGGGACCTTCAATGCTGCAGAAATATTTTGGTACCCTTCCAAGATCTCTGCCTCGACACAATCCTGTCTCGGAGCTCTACAGACAATTCCTTCGACCTCATGGCTTGGTTTTGCTCTGACATACACTGTCAACTGTGGGACCTTACATAGTCAGGTGTGTGCCTTTCCAAATCATGTCCAATCAATTGAATTTACCACAGGTGGACTCCAATCAAGTTGTACAAACATCTCAAGGATGATCAATGGAAACAGGATGCACCTGAGCTCAATTTCGAGTCTCATAGCAAAGGGTCTGAATGCTTATGTAAATAAGGCATTTCTGTTTTTTATTTTAATACTTTTGCAAAAATGTCTAAACCTGTTTTTGCTTTGTCAATATGGGGTATTGTGTGTACAGTCGTAGTCAAAAGTTTTGAGAATGAGACAAGTATTGGTCTTCACAGTTAGCTGCTTCAGTGTTTTTTAGATATTTTTGTCAGATGTTACTATGGTATACTGAAGTATAATTACAAGCATTCCATAAGTGTGTCAAAGGCTTTTGTTGACAATTACATTAAGTTTATGCAAAGAGTCAATATTTGCAGTGTTGACCCTTCTTTTTCAAGACCTCTGCAATCCGCCCTGGCATGCTGTCAATTAACTTCTGGGCCACATCCTGACTGACGGCAGCCCATTCTTGCATAATCAATGCTTGGAGTTTGTCAGAATTTGTGGGTTTTTGTTTGTCCACCCGCCTCTTGAGGATTAACCACAAGTTCTCAATGGGATTAAGGTCTGGGGAGTTTCCTGGCCATGGACCCAAAATGTTGATGTTTTGTTCCCCGAGCCACTTAGTTATCACTTTTGCCTTATGGCTAGGTGATCCATCATGCTGGAAAAGGCATTGTTCGTCACCAAACTGTTCTTGGATGGTTGGGAGAAGTTTCTCTCGGAGGATGTTGGTACCATTCTTTATTCATGGCTGTGTTCTTAGGCAAAATTGTGAGTGAGCCCACTCCCTTGGCTGAGAAGCAACCCCACACATGAATGGTCTCAGGATGCTTTACTGTTGGCATGACACAGGACTGATGGTAGCGCTCACCTTGTCTTCTCCGGACAAGCTTTTTTCCGGATGCCCCAAACAATCGAAAGGGGGATTCATCAGAGAAAATGACTTTACCCCAGTCCTCAGTAGTCCAATCCCTGTACCTTTTGCAGAATATCAGTCTGTCCCTGATGTTTTTCCTGGAGAGAAGTGGCTTCCTCGCTGCCCTTCTTGACACCAGGCCATCCTCCAAAAGTCTTCACCTCACTGTGCGTGCAGATGCACTCACACCTGCCTGTTGCCATTCCTGAGCAAGCTCTGCATTGGTGGTGCCCCGATCCCGCACCTGAATCAACTTTAGGAGACGGTCCTGGCGCTTGCTGGACTTTCTTGGGCGCCCTGAAGCCTTCTTCACAACAATTGAACCTCTCTCCTTGAAGTTCTTGATGATCCGATAAATGGTTGATTTGGGTGCAATCTTACTAGTAGCAATATCCTTGCCTGTGAAGCCCTTTTTGTGCAAAGCAATGATGACGTTTCCTTGCAGGTAACCATGGTTAACAGAGGAAGAACAATGATTTCAAGCACCACCCTCCTTTTAAAGCTTCCAGTCTGTTATTCTAACTCAATCAGCATGACAGAGTGATCTCCAGCCTTGTCCTCGTCAACACTCTCACCTGTGTTAACGAGAGAATCACTGACATGATGGCAGCTGGTCCTTTTGTGGCAGGGCTGAAATGCAGTGGAAATGTTTTTTGAGGATTAAGTTCATTTTCATGGCAAATAGGGACTTTGCAATTAATTGCAATTCATCTGATCACTCTTCATGACATTCTGGAGTATATGCAAATTGCCATCATAAAAACTGAGACAGCAGACTTTTAAAATTAATATTTGTGTCATTCTCAAAACCTTTGACCATGACTATAGATTGCGGAGTTTTATTTATTTTATTTAATCAATTTTAGAATAAGGCTGTAAAGTAACAATGTGGAAAAAGTCAAGGGGTCTGAATACTTTCCGAAGGCACTGTATATTATGACGGTTATTGAATTTTCATGACTGTCTTCACCCATAACCGTTAGTAACACAGTTATACGGTAATTATTTATGCAGTACTCTGAGATTTAACTGAAATATATTTAATTCCTGCTAAAAACTATTGTTTTCTTTCAGAATCTCACGCAGAGGGAAGAAATCTTGAAACTCATATTGAAAAATGAAAATGTAAGTTTTACATGGTAGTCATGGTAATTAAGTAACACTTTTTGTCTGTATGTGTTTCCACTAAACTTCCCCATGCATTTCCCAGGTGGATCCCACTGTTGACTTTGCTCACATGGCGAAGGAGACTGATGGATTCTCAGGAAGTGACCTCAGAGAGATGTGTCGGGATGCTGCTCTGTTATGTGTGCGGGATTTTGTCCATAACTACCATGCTGATGAAAGGTACCACGCCCCTCTGGCTGTGTTTACACAGGCAGCCCAATTCTGATATTTTTTTCACTAATTGGTCTTTTGACCAATTAGATCAGCTCTGATAAAGATCAGAATTGGGCTGCCCGTATAAACACAGCCTTCTTGAACCCTAACTTGATCTCCCAATACCAATGTCTTACATTGGGTTTTCATATGAGCATTAGTAGTGATTAGCGATTTCTCACTATTAGAGTTCCTTCTGCAGTTACCAGCAAGATACTGACCTTGTCTTTGTCTTCTGGCTCCAGGATCCTGGAACAAATCCGGTCCATCAATCAGGACGACATGCAGAGTGCCAGCCAGAAGATGAGGAAGTCGAAGTCTGCAGAGGGACAGAGTGTTCTGATTCATGCTACTCTGGATTGAGTTTTACGTGCGAAGGAGAACTATTAAGCGTCTGGATATTCTTTCCTTATTATTGTCTATTTATGAAGAGTGGAGAGACCTTGTAGAGATGTACATAAGTGTAATGCATATCATAATATCACTTTGTAACATCTTACTTCATTTGTTATTTTAAGAACATTTAGTTCAATGCATTCACATTAAAGCTTTTTTTCAAAATGCTGTTTTATGTGGGAGTTAGGCGTTACATGATACTTATGTTGGCATTAGTTTCTTGTGTATCTGGTTAACCAAGGTCTCACTGAAGCTGGCTCTGAGACTGCAAAATATGAGCACAGCTTTGGATCCTTTCAGGTTTGATAGGTAATAGGGAGGCGATTATGTACTATGACACACAGAAATATTGACTTATCCTTGGGCTTTCACCTTCCATCCATTTTATCTGAACATCAAATGTTGCTTCTTTTGGTACTGTTTATTTAGGGCTGTTCAGACTTCTTTTTTTTTCAGGAAAGCTGGTTATCGAACTAGTGTAACATCGGTAATAAAATGTGACACTTATAGTTGGCACGGTCATCGTTCAACTATTAGCTAGATGTTATACAATGAGTGGTTCTCAGAATGTCTGAATTATGATTTAGATCAGAAGTTTCATACATGAAAGAACAATTCAACTTTTAATCGAAAGTGAATTATCGCTGTGGGGGTTGTGAAGAGAACATGATGCAAAGACGTTTGAGTGAAGTTGTGACATGGCCTTCCATTTCTTCATAGTAAATACATCTATAGTAGTTTACTTCAATATCATGAGCTGCTTATGGTAAGATATGTATTATTCAAGTGTACTTCTGTTTATAAAACTTAAATACATCAGGAAACTTGTATTGTGCTTTCCTGTCCTATTTATGCCATTGTCTTCAGTCCAGGGTTCATTTACAGTAGAATTGAATAACTGCTTGTGGTGATTGTCATGTCTCTTATAGTTTCTGTTTATCCCTTGTGATGACCAGGATGCTTAATGGTTGGGTGATTGATTATTTCTACATGACAAACTTCCGGTATCTACCACATGTAACAGCCATTGCAATCTATTGAACGTGTGTGATTGCCAATTCATAGTTGACTTGAATGACTCAAGTTTTCTATGGACATTTTGTTTTGGGGGTTGGGATTGGTGGAAAGTGTCATTTTTATTATAGAACTTTTGTTTAGGTAAAATGCTTGCTTTGCTTTTTATATTGAATAATGGTGTCTGCTAAAATAAATTACACCAATATGTTTTTCGTTTACATGTAATCATTTATTTGCTTGAAACTTCCTATACTCTGAAAATACTGATATAAAAAGGTAGATGCAGTATAAGGACATTTAGAAATTAGGCACCATGGCATCACTTGATAAATATAGTTTCATTCCATTACACAGGGGTAGTTAAAACCCCTTCCACTCATGTCACTCAACTATGGAATTACATAATGTCTTCTCACAGCTTAAAAAAACACTTTTTAAGTTACTAGCTTGGAAGTTCAGTTGCAGTAAAGATGCATAGACAAGTAACAAAGGTGATCTGTTAATAAAACATTCATATTGATTTCTCCACAACTCTTGACTATCAACTTGTTTTTTTTAAACGACTTTACACTGCTTACAGATTCCTTTTGACCCACTCATCAAACTAGATAATTTCCAGTTTACATGATATTCAGTTAAAACAGTTAAAAAAAAGCTCTCAGGCATGTATTCCATTAATGCCTAGATTTCTACAGTAGTTGATTTAAAAAGAGAATATAAAATAGAGAGGTTTAAGAGTGTCTGTTTGAACCAGGATGTGTATGTGCGTTTTCATTCGTCCTTCTGCAGGGAGCTGTAGTACTCTGTGAGGACCTTCCAGGCCTTATTGGCCATGAAGCCATCCGGAGGGTTCTCTCCGCTGCGCGCCATCCTCCTCATCTTGGTCCCAGAGATGAACTCAAATTCCTGGTGTCTGGAAAGGAAGGTAAGACAAAGTTAGTGAAGCAGCTTGACTCTCTCTCTCTCTGTTACTTTTTGACATTGTAGGGACATTTTTCCTGAGCCCAGAGATTTTCCTGGTCAGGCCACATAGTCCGGAAAAACGTATGGCCCAAGATATTAGCTGTCAATGTACCTCTCCTTATCATAGAAGTCCATAGATCTTTTAGTCTTGTTGTAGGCAGCCACTCTGAAGGGGATGATCTCTACAGAGGGGAGACCAGGGGCCATGGTGAGGACCTTGCCCCCATGGGTGGGCTCATACAGGCTCTGCTTGGTCTCTGGGTGAGGCATGCCCGCAGGGTCGCGACCCACGATGTAGAAGTTGGCACCAGCTATCATCCGTGCCCGGCAGTGCCACTGTACCTAAGGGGTGGAAATACAAACACTTGTCTAGTGACTACTGATATGGCCTGATTCCACTGAGTAAAACAATGCTTGGAAATACATTTTATACAGAGATTAGTGTCCAGCAGTGGCAACCCATCATTCAGGGCAGGTGGGGCAGAACCTGTTGAGCAAAAAAATTTAATAATAATTATATATCTTTTCTTATTTTTGTTATTTTTGTGCCTGTTTTGCATGTTATTTTGGCATTAATACGTGTCACATATCAGTTTGTAAACAATGTAAAATAATATGATTTAATTAATAAAGCCGGATACAAACACTGAGTCGTGGCTGAACGCCGACCTGGATAATACAGTTGTCTGGGTTTTCCGTGCATCGGCAAGACAGAACAGCTGCCTCCGGTAAGACAAGGAGTGGCGGTCTGTGTCTATGTGTCAATAACAGCGGGTGCGCGAAATCTAATTTAAGGAAGTCTCAAGGTTTTGCTCGCCTGAGGTAGAGTATCTCATGATAAGCTGTAGACCACACTATTTACCAAGAGTTTTCATCTATATTTTTCGTATCTGTCCATTTACCACCACAAACCGATGCTGGCACTAAGAACGCACTCAACAAGCTGTATAAGGCCATAAGCAAACAAGAAAATGCTCATCCAGAGGCAGTGCTCCTAGTGGCCGGAGACTTTAATGCAGGGAAACTTACATTTGTTTTACCTCATTTCTACCAGCATGTTACATGTGCAACCAGAGGAAAAAAACTCTACACCACCTTTACTACACACACAGAGACGCGTACAAAGCTCTCCCTCACCCTCCTGCTTACAAGCAAAAACTAAAGCAGGAGATACCAGTGACTCGCTCAATACGGAAGTGGTCAGATGACGCAGATGCTAAGCTACAGGACTGTTTTGCTAGCACAGACTGGAATATGTTCTGGGACTCATCCGATGGCATTGAGGAGTATACCACATCAGTCACCGGCTTCATCAATAAGTGCATCGATGACGTCGTCCCCACAGTGACCATACATACCCCAAACAGAAGCCATGGATTACAGGCAACATCCGCACTGAGCTAAAGGGTAGAGCTGCCGCTTTCAAGGAGCGGGACTCTAACCCGGACGCTTATAAAAAATTATCCTATGCCCTCCGACGAACCATCAAACAAGCAAAGCGTCAATACAGGACTAAGATTGAATCCTACTATACCGGCTCCGATGCTCGTCAGATGTGGCAGGGCTTGCAAACTATTACGGACTACAAAGGGAAGCCCAGTCGCGAGCTGCCCAGTGACACGAGCCTACCAGACGAGCTAAATGACTTCTATGCGCTTCGAGGCAAGCAACACTGAAGCATGCATGAAAGCACCAGCTGTTCTGGATGACTGGGTGATCACGCTCGCCGTAGCCAATGTTAGAAAGACCTTTAAACAGGTCAACATTCACAAGGCCGCAGGGTCAGATGTACTCCGAGCATGCGCTGACCAACTGGCAAGTGTCTTCACTGACATTTTCAACCTGTCCCTGGCCGAGTCTGTAATACCTACATGTTTCAAGCAGACCACCATAGTCCCTGTGCCCAAGAACATCAAGGTAACCTGCCTAAATGACTACCGACCCGTAGCACTCACGTCTGTAGCCATGAAGTGCTTTGAAAGGCTGGTCGTGGCTCACATCAACACCATTATCCCAGAAACCCTAGACCCACTCCAATTTCCATACCGCCCCAACAGATCCACAGATGATGCAATCTCTATTGCTCTCCACACTGCCCTTTCCCACCTGGACAAAAGGAACACCTACGTGAGAATGCTATTCATTGACTACAGCTCAGCATTCAACACCATAGTGCCCTCAAAGCTCATCACTAAGCTAAGGACCCTGGGACTAAACACCTTCCTCTGCAACTGGATCCTGGACTTCCTGACGGGCCGCCCCCAGGTGGTAAGCGTAGGCAACAACACATCTGCCACGCTGATCCTCAACACAGGGGCCCCTCAGGGGTGCGTGCTTAGTCCCCTCCTGTACTCCCTGTTCAAGCACGACTCCAACACAATAATTACATTTTCCGACTACGCAACGGTGGTAGGCCTGATCACCGACAACGAGGAGACAGCCTATAGGGAGGAGGTCAGAGACCTGGCAGTGTGGTGCCAGGACAACAACCTCTCCCTCAAAGTGATCAAGACAAAGGAGATGATCGTGGACAACAGGAAAAGGAGGGCTGAGCACACCCCATTCTCATCGACGGGGCTGTAGTGGAGCAGGTTCAGAACTTCAAGTTCCTTGGTGTCCACATCACCAACAAACTATCATGGTCCAAACACACCAAGACAGTCGTGAAGAGGGCATGACAATGCCTATTCCCCCTCAGGAGACTGAAAAGATGTGGCATGGTTCCTCAGATCCTCAGAAGGTTCTACAGCTGCACCATCGAGAGCATCCTGACTGCATCACAACCTGGTATGGCAACTCCTCTGACCACAAGGCGCTACAGAGGGTAGTGTGTTCGGCCCAGTACATCACTGGGGCCAAGCTTCCTGCTATCCAGGACCTCTATACCAGGCGGTGTCAGTGGAAGGCCCTAACAATTACCAAAGACTCCAGCCACCCTAGTCATAGACTGTTCTCTCTGCTACCGCACGGCAAGCGGTACCAGAGCACCAAGTCTAGGTCCCAAAGGCTTCTTAACAACTTCTATCCCCAAGCCATAAGATTGCTGAACAGCTAATCAAATGGCTACCCAGACTATTTGCATTGACCCCCCCCCCCCCCCCCCCCCCCCCCCCCCCTTTTTTTACGCTGCTGCTACTCGCTGTTTATTATCTATCCATAGTCATATTACCACAATTACCTAGACTAACCTTTACCCCCGCACATTGATTCAGTACCGGTACCACCTGTATATAGCCTGGTTATTGTTATTTGATTGTTGCGCTTTTATTTTTGTACTTTAATTTATTTAACAAAAAACTGCATTGTTGGTTAAGGGCTTGTAAGTAAGCATTTCACGGTAAGGTCTACACCTCTTGTATTTGGCGCATGTGACAAATAAAATTTGGTCTCTGTTTGTCACGCCCTGGCTCTGGGGACTCTAATATGTGGAGCCAGGGTGTGTATAGTCTATGTGTGTTCTAGGTTTCACTTTCTGGTTTTGTAGATCTATGTTGGCCAGGGTGGCTCCCAATCAGAGACGGCTGTAGCTCGTTGTCTCTGATTGGGAGTCATACTTAGGTAGCCGTTTGGCACTCATTCATGTTGGTTTCTTGTTCGTATTTGGTTTGTGTATGACCATTGACTGTCACGTCATCGTTTTGTTGTTTTGATCGTGTGATCATTAATATTATAAATATGTTCGCCTTCAACGCTGCGCCTTGGTCCTCCTCTATGTATGACGATCGTGACAGAAGAAACCACCAAGATTTGACCAAGCAGCGTGTCCAGGAGCCATCGCCAGGGAGATCTCTAACAGATCTCCTTCGCCTCCTCGACTGGGTCAAGCCGAGTGAGGAAGAGAAGGGCTTGACACTGTGGCAGAAGGGCGAAAGGCTGGCGAGGGACATGGAGACCTGGTCCACGGGTAGGAGAGACGCCCAGAAAATTTTTAGGGGGGGGCTAACGACGTGGACGACGGGCCAGCAGGAGACCGCGGCAGAGCGGCCCAGCGGATTGGCAGAGGAGGCCGCCAGGTTACGGGGGCCACTGGTCGAAGAGGGGGTGGAAGGTGATGAGGCACGGCGAGAGGTACTGGGGTGTGTTACCAGTCCGGTCCGGCCCATTCCAGATCCCTGCGTAGGACCAGTGGTGTGTGTCCCCAGTACGGTCCGGCCTGTTCCTGCTCCCCGCACCAAGTCAGTGGTGCGCTTCGTCAGCCCGGCTCGGCCCGTTCCTGCTCCCCGCACCAAGTCAGTGGTGTGCTTCGTCAGCCCGGCTCGGCCCGTTCCTGCTCCCCGCACCAAGTCAGTGGTGCGCTTCGTCAGCCCGGCTCGGCCCGTTCCTGCTCCCCGCACCAAGTCAGTGGTGCGCTTCGTCAGCCCGGCTCGGCCCGTTCCTGCTCCCCGCACCAAGTCAGTGGTGCGCTTCGACAGCCCGGCTCGGCCCGCTCCTGCTCCCCACACCAAGCCAGTGGTGTGCGTCGTCAGTCCGGCACGGCCCGTGCCTGTTCCACCGGTGGCTGGTCCGGCACCGGTCAGATGCTTCACGCCGGAGCTAGAGCAATCCGCTCCACCAGTGTGCAGTCCAGCTCCGGCCAGCGGGGCCAGACCGGACCAGGGGTACTTTGGGGGGTTGGAGAGGGAGCGGGGATCAGGCCCGGAGCCGGATCCGCCGCCTAAGCGGAGTGCCCACCCGGTCCCTCCCCTGTGGTGTTTGAGTGGGCGGTCGAGTCGCGCCTTTAGGGGGTCTCTGTATTGTCACCCTGGCTCTGGGGACTCTAATATGTGGAGCCAGGGTGTGGTATAGTCTATGTGTGTTCTAGGTTTACTTTCTGGTTTTGTAGATCTATGTTGGCCAGGGTGGCTCCCAATCAGAGACGGCTGTAGCTCGTTGTTCTGATTGGGAGTCATACTTAGGTGCCGTTTGGCTCATTCTTCATGTTGGTTTCTTGTTCGTATTTGGTTTGTGTATGACCATTGCTGTCACGTCATCGTTTGTTGTTTTGATCGTGTGATCATTAATATTATAAATATGTTCCCTTCAACGCTGCGCCTTGGTCCTCCTCTATGTATGACGATCGTTGTTACTCTGAGAAGACAAACCACCAAGTGATTTGACCAAACAGCGTGTTCCGGAGCTCGGCTGGGAGATCTCTAAGTCTCCTCGCCTCTCGACGGGTAACAAGCGAGTGAGGAAGTAGAAGGCTTGACACTGTTGGCAGCAGGGCTGAAGGCTGGCTGAGGACATGGAGACTGGTCACAGGTAGGAGAGACGCCCAAAAATTTACAGGGGGGGGCTACGTGGACAGAAAGTCAGAGCCGCCGGGTCGCCATAGATTCGTCCAGATGATGTGCAGCAAGGGGCGCCAGGTACGGGACCATGGTCGAAGAGCGGTCGGCAAGTGATGAGGCACGGCCGATGGGTACTGGGGTGTTACCAGTCCGGTCCGGCCATCCAGATCCTGCGTGACCAGTGGTGTGTTCCCCAGTGACGGGTCCGGCCTGGTTCCTTGCTGTCCCACAGTCGGTGCGCCTTAGCATCCGGTCGGCCCGGTCCTGCTCCCGCTCACAGCGGTTGCGCGTCAGCCCGGTTCGGCCCGTCCTGGCTCCAGCTGGCATCACGGTCAGGGCGCTTGTTAAGAGCGTCGGCCGTGTTGCTGTTCCGCACACAGTCATGGCTGCGCTTTCGCTGCCCGGCTCCGCCCGGTTCTGCGCCGACGACAGTCGTGTAGCACAATCGACACCCACTGGCGCTCGCCCACACAAAAGCCAGTGGTTGCGTTCAGTCCTGAAGGCCCGTCCATGGGCTTCCGAGGCCAGGTGGCTGGCCGGCACCGGTCAGTTGGCGTCACGCCGGGCTTGACGCATGCTTCCCACCAGTGTGCAGCCGACTCCGGCCAGGGGGGCACAATCGGCACCGAGGTACTTTCGGGTAGGGTGGAGGGAGCGGGGATCAGGCCGACGGATCCGCCGTACAGGAGGGCCCAACCCGGGGTCACCTTTAGTATTGATGGAGACGGTCGGAATCCGGCTAGTTATTGGCAGGTAAATGACGTCAATCCTGGCTATCTCGGGTAGCTTATTGGCTGACCAGTGTGTTATAGTCTCAATTTAGCTATCAAGTACAACCTTCTGGTTTTGTAGATCTATGTGGCCAGTGCTCCATCAGAGACGCTTGTACTTGTCTATGAATTGGGAGTCATATTAGTACCTCCTCTATGTATGACGATCGTGACACTGTTTTACTTTCTTGAGTAAGGCAGCTCCAAAATGCAGGTGTTTCAGCCTAGCTCAGTGCTTTCTGTGGTGGTGGGGCAGCCAGCGGAAAATACAGAGCGTAGTGGTTGGTAACCTTCTCTAGTTGCGCCGTGATTGGCTCAGTGTTCTGTCATTCATGGGGACACTACGTCGCCGCAAAATCTACATGGAGTGCTAGAAAGTTCAAGCCCCCTTGGGTGCTGCCATAGATTTAGATTAGAAGTGCCCATCCAGTGGCACTAGAGATCCTGGTTCGAGCAGGCTCTGTCGCAGCCGACCGGGAGACCCATGGGGCGGCGCACAATTGGCCCAGAGTCGTCCAGGTTAGGGGAGGGTTTGGCCGGCAGGGATGTTCTTGTCCCATCGCGCACTAGCGATTCCTGTGGCGGGCCGGGCGCAGTGCACGCTGACACGGTTGCCAGGCGTACGGTGTTTCCTCTGACACATTGGTGCAGCTGGCTTCCGGGTTAAGCAGGCATTGTGTTAAGAAGCAGTGCGGCTCGGTTGTGTTGTGTTTCGGAGGACGCACGGCTCTCGACCTTTGCCTCTCCCGTGTCCGCCTGGGAGTTGCAGCGATGGGACAAGACTGTAACTACCAATTGGATATCACAAAACTGGGGAGAAAAAGAGGTACAAAAAATATATATATAATAACTATAGAAGTGCCCATCCAATTGGGGCCTCCCGATGGCGCAGCAGTCTAAGGCACTGCATCACAGTGTTGCGGCGTCACTACAGCCTGGGGTTTGATCCCAGGCTGTCTCACAACCGGCTGTGACCGGGAGTCCCATAGGGCGGCGCACAATTGGCCCAGCGTCATCCGGGTTAGGGGAGGGTTTGGCCGGGTGGAGTTGCAGCAATGAGATCGTAATCACGAAATTGGGGAGAAAATGGGGGTAAACATTTAAAATAAATAAATAAAATAAAGAAGTGCACATCCAAGAAGGCTCAAGGTAATTGGCCACAGATAAAATGACGTCAAGTCACGTTATATCTACCGTAGCTTTGATTGGACTGATCATGTCAACATCATACTTTCAAAATCTTAGCTAACAAGCTAGACAACCAGTCATCATCATGAATCATGTCGACAATCTCCTGGCAAATCCTTTTCAATCCTTGTCATATGAAGAGAAATAAAACGTATCGGTGCTCATCGGCCATTAGACATAAACATTACACAACAAGTTGGAAATTGCAAATTCAACAATGAGTGGTTTGGATGGAATCAGTGGCTAACTGCAAGCGTTGCAAAGCAATCACTATTTTGCTTCCCCTGCCTGCTATTTGGTGGAGAGGGTGTGCGGTCCAAGTCTGGGTTTAAGGGACTCTTTTCCAAGCTTAAAAGGATAAACATTAACATGCAACATCATGGGCCAGAAAATGTTGAATACATTGACCATGCTGTCAATCCAGCATGATTTCTGCCACGTTCAAAACAACTGGAAACTCGGAACTGGGAAATCTCAAACTTCAGTGAGTTCAAGACAACAGGGAACTCAGAAAAAAACAATCTCCGACTGGGAAAATACATTTTGAACGGTCATCCAACTCAGAATTCCAAGTCGGGAACTCTGGCCTTTTCCTAGAGCTTCGACCTGAAGATCACTGACGTTATTTTACACTCTTATCCAGAGCGACTTACAGTTATGATTCGTCCTTGTTTTTTTCAGAGTTCCCAGTTGTCTTGACCATAAATCCAGAGAATGCCAGTTTCATGACAATATTTGCCCACAAGAAGGACCGCCGTGCCACCTTCCTGTTCAAGTGAGCACAGCACAACGGTGAGTCCAAAAATGTATTGTATGCTGCTGTATAATTTATGTAATATGCCAGGGAGATATGTATACTGTAGCTAAGAAAGTAATACTAAGTGTATGTTGTGTAGTAAGCTGTTAGTAGCCCATGTGCCTCACCCTAATAATTTGGTCCCTTTCCCCCTCATAACTTAGCCTACTGTTCTGACTTGGTTGTGCACATGTAGCCTATAGCCTGTTTTAGAGAAATGTCATCATCGAATATTGTAAGAGCTTTCATTGTCTGATTATATGCCCCCTTTATTTATCCTACGGTTCTGACTTGATGTACAGGGAGAATACTGTAAGAACGGCCCATGTTCTGAATTCTGTCGCTGTACATTTCAAAAGTGCTGAACAAATAGTTATATTGACTACGTCTGTCTTAGCTCGCTCATTAATGTCTTAATCGAAATTACGGATTACCTCTTATCCGCTCATCGTTCCCTTATGCCATAGTTTGTACATCTCAATTGTCAGTAGAAACCACATTTGTTTAAGCAAGTCAGCCATATCAGCTTTGTTTTTTTTTAAAGACAGGCTGAATAAACTGAATGAACTGTTTCGCTGCCAGACGAGGCTCTGCTGATAGCCAGGTGTAGCGGTGGTAAGGATTCACTCCATGGTGCTGAAAAGAAAGCTCTGCTGTTGGGACAGATTTATGTAGGCCCTAACAGTTTGTGGGCACCGTTTGTCACCATTCTAGTGCAATCAATGTATTGTTTAGTGTTGTGTTGTGCAGTGGTTTTGCTGGCATGCATCTAAAAAAAAATATTGACATGCTAAAACCGCCACTGGTATCCAGTTAGTACAAACAGTGTAAGTGAGATCTATCTAAGATGTAGACCGGGGGAAACCATCGCTCTACCTCAGAGGGTCCAGCATACATCATGGGGGAGGGGAATATGGCCACGATGGTGCTGGCTGGATCCAATACCCCCTCCTCCAGTACGGCAGCATGCTGTTTTATGCGCCAGTCCAGAGGCACGTCATCGTCTTTGGTCCAGCCCCCCAGCGGGTGGAGCAGTAGGACAGGGTTCTTGTAGCCTCGCTCCAGCAGCTGCCGCTTCGTGTCTTGCATCAGGAGGGCGTGGCCGTTGTGGACCGGGTTGCGAAGCTGGAAGGCGAAGATGGCGTCTGCGGGGAACACGAAAAAGGAGGTTCCTTCAGTGACTGCTAAGTTTTCTTTATCATCACTGGGTTTTTTCAGCATTTGTCTTAAGTAGACATTAGCATACACAATGCAGCACTAAGAGAGAAAGCAGACAGGAAGTAAGTGAGAATTAAACAGAATATAATATGCTATTCACCTGCTTTCATCTCCTTGAACTTTTGCTTCAGTTCTCTTGGAGTGAAGCGGTATTGGTCCAGACCATCGTTCCATTTGATTTGCTCTAGCACCTCCAAATCTCCACCAACCAGCCAATCACCACCCTCCATAACCATCTGTGAGAATTGTTTTGTTTCATTCAAGTATGTTCTGTTGACAAGCAAGTTCATGATATTAACAGGGACAGTTCTAAAACGCAATTCTAACCTTGATGTAAGGATGCTGAGGACATGTGGTTCCCCACTGCCTGGCACAACGCTCTTCCTTCCGATGTTCATAAAACTCAGGGTTGCGGAGAATTGCCACTCTGCAACCTTTGAACTCAAGTGCGAATGCTGCGCAGCCGTCCAGCTTCTCTTTACTCTCTTTGGAAACGGGCAGGACTATCAGCACAGAGAGGTTGATGTTTCCACCTGCCAACCACATGTCATTCTATGTCACTCACAGAAAGTCAATAGACCTCTGTTGGCTCAGTGTTAGCTCTATTGACTTTCTATGAGGTAGAGGTAGGTGTTGTTACATGTGCATAACATGTCAATAGAACATGATATGAGCATATGCTACATTACACTGTGTCGTCTATGAAGTTATAAAATACTAGTATTACCATCCAGAAGAGTGCCGAAGTGCAGAACCTGCAGGAACTCCCTCTCCCTCATGAAGCCCTTGAGGGGGCTGGCCCAGCCCTCCGCCAGCACCTGCACCCACTGAAGGTCCAGCTACAGGACATACAGAAAAAACAGCCATTAGGGTGTGGTCACATCAGGTGTTACTACTCAACATGAAGGGTCAGGTTTGTTACCTTGGTGATGCTGACCGTAGGCAGTGTCTTGGCGTCGCTCAGTGCCAAGTCCAGCTTGTTCTCTGGCACAAAGAGCTCAGTCACTTCCTCTGTCACACCAGTGGGCACAATACTCTACAAAACAAAAGGATCAATGTGATAGTACATTAACAAGTTCATTTCCAATGACTAGGACATTTTCCTCACGGTAGAGATACAATGAGGAATACTGATATAGATTTAGCTACACCACAGACAGGTGAGGCCCAGCGAGGTCTCAGGGACCATAGATAGACTCACCTGTTCCTTCAGCAGCTCGACCACCTGTTGGATGCACTCATTCGCTGAGATCTCTCCGGTTTTCAGCACAAGATCAGGTGACTCAGGCTTCTCAAAAGGTGAATCAATGCCCGTAAAGCCTTAAGGGGAGAGGGTCAGGATACCCGTTTAAGACCTTGTCAATCATTTACACTACTTTAGTGCTGAGTCAATATAGAATTATATAACCCCACTCTTTTTGCTTGTTTAATAGCATGTTAAGTAGTAGACTTTGAAGCCATATGATCTATACTTTTAAATGTAGCTGTGTGTAATGTACCGTAACAGAGAACTGGAACACTGGAGGGCAGAGTCAGTCTGATCAGTACCTTTAATCTCTCCAGCACGGGCCTTCTTGTAGAGGCCTTTGACATCCCTGCTCTCACACACCTCCAGGGGAGCGTCGATGAACACCTCGAAGAACGGCAGCCCAGATTGTACATGGATCTTCCTGGCTTCTTGCCGGTCCTATGCACAGGAGAAAGAGACTGGGTAGCAAAGATCAACATGTTTGGTATCTTGATTTTAGTTCCATAACCAAAATAGGTTTTCAAAACCAGATACCAACGGAAGTGAATGCAGTCAGACACACAGTATAGCAGCTATACAGGCCAGAGCTCAGATCCATCACAATGGATGACTTAGAAATGCATATCAAGTACAATTTCAACAGTGTCTGTTTAACTGTCACTCACTCACTCACCTTAGTGAATGGGGAAATGAAGCTGGTGATGCAGACCAATCCTGCATCTGCAAACAGCTTGGCCACCTCAGCGATGCGCCTGATGTTCTCCTCCCTGTCCACAGAGGTGAAGCCCAGGTTCCTGTTCAGCCCCTGTCTGATGTTATCCCCATCCAGGGAGTAGCAGGGAATACCATGGGACACCAAGTACTCCTCCAGGGCAAAGCCAACGGTTGTCTTTCCGGCACCTGACAAACCTTTAGCACACAGTGACGTAGTCAACATTTACAATACATCCGTTAACCAACATGGCTTATGTGAAACTCTGTGGTCTAGTATTGGAGCGATGGAGAGAGAGGGTGTTCTTTGCTTACCAGTGAGCCAGACAGTGCAGCCTCTGAAGCCCTCTCTGGTGCCCACCACTTGGCCTCGTTTGGACCGGCTCACATGGTGAGCCTGGTACACCACGTTAGTGGACCTCTGAAGATCCTGAAACCACAGAGAGACTGCATGATTGCACACCTGCACATTTATAATTGAGCTATTAGTACAGAAGAAAGAAATGCTGCCTTAGGGTGTTTGCAATTGAACACAGTATTTTAGTCAGCTGTGAAACACAGAACTGTGCTGTAACATGTAGTGATAGCTTGATAAAGAGTGATTTAAGTCCTCAGCAAGACATGTACAGTGAGGGAAAAAAGTATTTGATCCCCTGCTGATTTTGTACGTTTGCCCACTGACAAAGAAATTATCAGTCTATAATTTTAATGGTAGGTTTATTTGAACAGTGAGAGACAGAATAACAACAAAAAAATCCAGAAAGACGCATGTCAAAAATGTTATAAATTGATTTGCATTTTAATGAGGGAAATAAGTATTTGACCCCCTCTCAATCAGAAAGATTTCTGGCTCCCAGGTGTCTTTTATACAGGTAACGAGCTGAGATTAGGAGCACACTCTTAAAGGGAGTGCTCCTAATCTCAGTTTGTTACCTGTATAAAAGACACCTGTCCACAGAAGCAATCAATCAATCAGATTCCAAACTCTCCACCATGGCCAAGACCAAAGAGCTCTCCAAGGATGTCAGGGACAAGATTGTAGACCTACACAAGGCTGGAATGGGCTACAAGACCATCGCCAAGCAGCTTGGTGAGAAGGTGACAACAGTTGGTGCGATTATTCGCAAATGGAAGAAACACAAAATAACTGTCAATCTCCCTCGGCCTGGGTCTCCATGCAAGATCTCACCTCGTGGAGTTGCAATGATCATGAGAACGGTGAGGAATCAGCCCAGAACTACACGGGAGGATCTTGTCAATGATCTCAAGGCAGCTGGGACCATAGTCACCAAGAAAACAATTGGTAACACATTACGCCGTGAAGGACTGAAATCCTGCAGCGCCCGCAAGGTCCCCCTGCTCAAGAAAGCACATATACAGGCCCGTCTGAAGTTTGCCAATGAACATCTGAATGATTCAGAGGAGAACTGGGTAAAAGTGTTGTGGTCAGATGAGACCAAAATTGAGCTCTTTGGCATCAACTCAACTCGCCGTGTTTGGAGGAGGAGGAATGCTGCCTATGACCCCAAGAACACCATCCCCACCATCAAACATGGAGGTGGAAACATTATGCTTTGGGTGTGTTTTTCTGCTAAGGGGACAGGACAACTTCACCGCATCAAAGGGACGATGGACGGGGCCATATACCATCAAATCTTGGGTGAGAACCTCCTTCCCTCAGCCAGGGCATTGAAAATGGGTTGTGGATGGGTATTCCAGCATGACAATGACCCAAAACACACAGCCAAGGCAACAAAGGAGTGGCTCAAGAAGAAGCACATTAAGGTCCTGGAGTGGCCTAGCCAGTCTCCAGACCATAATCCCATAGAAAATCTGTGGAGGGAGCTGAAGGTTCGAGTTGCCAAACGTCAGCCTCGAAACCTTAATGACTTGGAGAAGATCTGCAAAGAGGAGTGGGACAAAATCCCTCCTGAGATGTGTGCAAACCTGGTGGCCAACTACAAGAAACGTCTGACCTCTTTGATTGCCAACAAGGGTTTTGCCACCAAGTACTAAGTCATGTTTTGCAGAGGGGTCAAATACTTATTTCCCTCATTCAAATGCAAATCAATTTATAACATTTTTGACATGCGTTTTTCTGGATTTTTTTGTTGTTATTCTGTCTCTCACTGTTCAAATAAACCTACCATTAAAATTATAGACTGATCATGTCTTTGTCAGTGGGCAAACGTACAAAATCAGCAGGGGATCAAATACTTTTTTCCCTCACTGTATACTTTTCCATTTGTTTGAATGCCAAGCAGAACAATCTGTCTGAAAGCCATTCCTCTCAGCGTTTACAGCTCATCAGGTCATTGTTAGAAGTAAAACCGCAGGGCTGTTCAATTCCAGTATTGGAGAGCCGAAATACTTCTGGTTTTGGTTTCTACCTGGTAGTTAATTGCACTCACCTGGTGTCCCAGGTCTGAATCAGTCCCTGATTAGAAGGAGAGAATGAAAACCAGAAGTGTTTTGGCCCTCCAGGACTGACATTGACGACCCCTGTGTAAAAGGGATTCGACTACTGACCAGTCACACACAGAGACTAGAAAGATATAAACCCCAACCCAGGGAAGCTTTAATTTTATAGAATTTAAGTCTTTCAGATCATCACAACAAGATATACTCATGTCGCTCCAGCTTCTTCTAATAAGTCTTTGTCCAGCCTGCCTAATTGCCTTTTTGTGGCTTCACATACTGTGTGGTGTGTAGGAAGACCAGGTTGGTGGGGGTTGCGGAGGCCCAGGGGGAAACAAACCAGCCTTTTCATTCATACAGTCCTGCAGTGTGGCAGTCAGGCCCAATGCTCACTGGCTGGAACCCCTCAAAGGCCATGCTGTACCTCTCCCAAGGCTGCCCAGACACGTGATATATGAGCTTCATTCATTTGGCACATGGGCTTAGTGACTCTCATAGTGGCTCACTGTTACTGTAGCCTCCCTCCATCAGTCACAACTCCTCAATGAGCCCTTGTTGTTAGGGACATGGATAAACTTAAAACTAGTCCAACTGGAACAACTTGGCTCACTGTTTAGAGAGGCCATTAGCCAGATCCAAATGTATAGTCACTAAATATGTCATAAGCCTTAATAACACACATCTCAGCTATTTGAAATAGTGAAGCACATCATACACTATTATATAGTAAGACTTACAATACATTCTATAAACTACATTGTTATTATACAATATATGTAGGCTATAATATGCAAATACTGTATATAACGTCGGTGGAATATTATATAATGTGGATGTATAATCTTCCTGTTGTTATAACTCGAAAGGAATTTATTAGCCAAGAATCCGTTTTGCATTGCAGTGATTTCGCGAGAAATGGTCAGTCAATCCACAGGTCTACTGAACGCTGATTTGTGGCAGAAACCGACTGGGTCACTTTCTTGTGTAGGCCACTAACTAAAAACTCTGAAACGCAGGTAAGAATGATTCTTCTATGCTATATTTTTCCCCACACAGCTGGTGACAAGGGGGAAGGAAGTTAATTGTGGTTAACATAGAACATTCCTACAGAACTTTCAGTTTAGAAACAATGTTGGCTATAGAACGTTAACTTCCGACTCTGCTCCAATGTATTTCTTTCGGTGCTCGACATACGAAGCCTACATGTTTAGATAGAAAAACGTTCTCCAATTTGATACAGTGTCTGTCTGTCTGCCCCCCCAACGACCACAGATCCGAATGAAATAAATACATATAAAAAGTAAAACATAATGACATACCGTTCTTTGTTTTTTGATCCCAGACATCGCCGCTTCTTCTGAAACGTTTTAGTTTGGCGACCTAATAACTTCTGTTGGTAATGATAAACCTATATTCGCTTCTTGTAAAAAATAAATAAAATAAATACTAGTTTATTATGTGATTTATCTGAAATAAATCTGACGGGAGATGTCCAATGAAGATTTCTAATCCGACACGTAGCATATTCATAACCCTGCCTTTTTCGTCCCACCTCAATCTCACAGATCTCCATAGAACGTCAGAGCCACGACATTACACTGGGTTGAGCAAAATAACTGCAAAACCATGAAATCGGAGAACCCATGAATGGCATTTGAAGATTTATGATTTTCTATGGCATTTACTGATTTTGAAATGGGTTGCTAAATTTGTATTTGATACAGAATCAAATATGTCAAAAGAAAACAAGAAAAACTCACGGCATTTACTTTAATCTTAAATATTTCACAAACAAATCATATGACAATGTAGAATAATAAATAATCAAATAAAGTAACTCAGATAAAGTAACCCAAAATGTAAAAGCTCATTGTTCACAAAGCAGTCCAAGAATGTTTGAATAAAAAAAAAAGCACATTTTGGAATAAATGTTTCTGAAAATGAATACAAATATAAATCAGCCCACACAAATTACTCATATTATTGAGCAAAAAATTTAACAACAACACATTGCAAAGGGTCCCTTTCAGCAGGGAAACCCAACCCACTGCATATACAGTATTGGGACAGTAGCAACGTTTCCATCCAATTGGCGACAGATTTTCATGCGAATAATATAAAATGCACGTTCAAACAAATAAACGCCGTTTCCTTCCAGATGCGTTTCTATCATATTGACTTGTTGCAGATAAATGGCTATGCGGGATGACGTAGTGCACATAAAATACCTTTTGCGGTTAAATTGCCATTTACCGAATAAAAAAAATACTTTAAATGGGTTTCCATTGCATTTCAACTCTGCTGTTGGTTCTTACAAAAAAATGAGCGTGTGTACCCAGTATTGGCACGCTGTTGGCTAGAACGCACTATAGCCTACATGTTGAGAGTATTATTATGAACAAAAGAGAGATTACTTGTTATTTGTCAAACGGCACCCAAGCATAGATTATAATGTCACCAGAATAAGACCCTCGATATTTATTGGAAAGGAGCATCAAGCTCATCACCTTGCACTTTCACCACCCTGTGAAGTCCATCATAATGTATTTCATCTGTAGCCTAATAAACTTCATGCTTTCCCGAGGAGTCATAGTGGGAGGACCACACAACGTCATCGCGTGACTCCCAAGTTAACTTCGATATGATGGTTATTATATTAATATTTGTGCATAAAAGTGTTTCCACCGACATTTCTCGCATAAATAATTTTACCGGCACAAAAATATCGCACCTTGTCTAGGGTACTTTGTTTGGTCGACATTTTGAAAGTTTACCGAAAAATGTTCTGTTTCCATCAGGCCGGTCATCAGACATGTACTTTACTTCCATAAAAAGTTTGGAGGAAAACCTGGTTAGTGACACGTTTTGTTTAGGCTCTGTACCCCAGCGTTTTGGATTTGAAATGATTGCAGACTGTCAGTTTTAATTTGAGGGTATTTTCATCCATATCAGGTGAACCATTTGGAAATTACAGCACTTTGTTTTCTTTAACTTAATGCCCCCATTTTAGGGGACCAAAAGTATTGGGACAATGCATTTGCTGTTTGTTTTGGTTGTGTTTCAGATTATTTTGTGCCCAATAGAAATGAATGGTAAATTATGTATTGTGTCATTTGAGTCACTTTTATTGTAAATAAGAATAAAATATGTTTCTAAACACTTCCACATTAATGTAGATACTACCAGGACTATGGATAGTCCTGAATGAATTGTGAATAATGATGAGTGAGAAAGTTAGAAGCACAAATATCATACCCCCAAGACATGCTAACCTCACCATTACAATAACAGTATTTGTGCGTCTGTAACTTTCTCGCTCATCATTATTCACGAGTCATTCAGGATTACGCCTAATCATGGTAGAATCCACATGAATGTAGAAGTGTTTAGAAACAATTTCTAAATGGTTCACCTGATATGGATGAAAATACCCTCAAATTAAAGCTGACAGTCTGTACTTTAACATTATAGTCATTGCATCATTTCAAATCCAAAATGGTGTAGAGACCCAAAAACAAAAAAGGTCAGTAACCAGTTTTGTACAAAAAGTGCTGTAATTTCTAAACGCTTCACCTGATATGGATGAAAATACCCTCAAATTAAAGCTGACAGTCTGCACTTTAACCTCATAATCCTTGTATCGTTTCAAATCCAAAGTGCTGGAGAACAGAGCAAAAAACAACAACAAAAATGTCACTATCCCAATACTTGAATATCTCACTGTATCCAGTGACAGACATTCTATTCTATTACATGGAGGGAAAAAAGTATTTGATCCCCTGCTGATTTTGTACGTTTGCCCACTGACAAAGAAATTATCAGTCTATAATTTTAATGGTAGGTTTATTTGAACAGTGAGAGACAGAATAACAACAAAAAAATCCAGAATCGCATGTCAAAAATGTTATAAATTGATTTGCATTTTAATGAGGGAAATAAGTATTTTACCCCTCTGCAAAACATGACTTAGTACTTGGTGGCAAAACCCTTGTTGGCAATCACAGAGGTCAGACATTTCTCGTAGTTGGCCACCAGGTTTGCACACATCTCAGGAGGGATTTTGTCCCACTCCTCTTTGCAGATCTTCTCCAAGTCATTAAGGTTTCAAGGCAGATGTTTGGCAACTCAAACCTTCAGCTCCCGCCACAGATTTTCTATGGGATTAAGGTCTGGAGACTGGCTAGGCCACTCCAGGACCTTAATGTGCTTCTTCTTGAGCCACTCCTTTGTTGCCTTGGCCGTGTGTTTTGGGTCATTGTCATGCTGGAATACCCATCCACGACCCATTTTCAATGCCCTGGCTGAGGGAAGGAGGTTCTCACCCAAGATTTGACGGTACATGGCCCTGTCCATCGTCCCTTTGATGCGGTGAAGTTGTCCTGTCCCCTTAGCAGAAAAACACCCCCAAAGCATAATGTTTCCACCTCCATGTTTGACGGTGGGGATGGTGTTCTTGGGGTCATAGGCAGCATTCCTCCTCCTCCAAACACGGCGAGTTGAGTTGATGCCAAAGAGCTCCATTTTGGTATCATCTGACCACAACACTTTCACCCAGTTCTCCTCTGAATCATTCAGATGTTCATTGGCAAACTTCAGACGGGCATGTATATGTGCTTTCTTGAGCAGGGGGACCTTGCAGGCACTGCAGGATTTCAGTCCTTCACGGCGTAGTGTGTTACCAATTGTTTTCTTGGTGACTATGGTCCCAGCTGCCTTGAGATCATTGACAAGATCCTCCCGTGTAGTTCTGGGCTGATTCCTCACCGTTCTCATGATCATTGCAACTCCACGAGGTGAGATCTTGCATGGAGCCCCAGGCCGAGGGAGATTGACAGTTATTTTGTGTTTCTTCCATTTGCGAATAAATCGCACCAACTGTTGTCACCTTCTCACCAAGCTGCTTGGCGATGGTCTTGTAGCCCATTCCAGCCTTGTGTAGGTCTACAGTCTTGTCCCTGACATCCTTGGAGAGCTCTTTGGTCTTAGCCATGGTGGAGAGTTTGGAATCTGATTGATTGATTGCTTCTGTGGACAAGTGTCTTTTATACAGGTAACATTTACATTTTAGTCATTTAGCAGACGCTATTATCCAGAGCGACTTACAGTTAGTGAGTGCATACATTTTCACACTGGCCCCCCGTGGGAATTGAACCCACAACCCTGGCGTTGCAAGCGCCATGCTCTACCAACTGAGCTACACGGGGCCCCACTCCCTTTAAGAGTGTGCTCTAATCTCAGCTCGTTACCTGTATAAAAGACACATGGGAGCCAGAAATCTTTCTGATTGAGAGGGGGTCAAATACTTATTTCCCTCATTAAAATGCAAATCAATTTATAACATTTTTGACATGCGTTTTTCTGGATTTATTTTATTTTATTCTCTCTCTCACTGTTCAAATAAACCTACCATTAAAATTATAGACTGATCATTTCTTTGTCAGTGGGCAAATGTACAAAATCAGCAGGGGATCAAATATTTTTTCCCTCACTGTAGGTGGTTCTTTCTGCTTTTGGAAAATGCATTCTGTATGCAAACACAAAAAGGCACCTGAAAAATATGCTTTACTATAAATTATCAATACAAAACCGTGAAATGACATAAATATAAATCTCTCCCTCCTCTAAAAAGTGTTCAATAAAGACCCTGGATTCTGACCCTAGAAAAGAAAGCTATCAGCATAACTCATATGCTAAAGTGACACATAAAAAAAAAGTGTACCTGTAAAAGCTATCTGTGAAACCTGTATATCTGTAAAACCACTGACTTGAATTACTTCAAAAAAGCTAGACCATTAACAAAGTGTAACTGCTTTGGCCAAAACCATTAAAACCCCTCTCTTGCATGACACATAGATGTTTGAGTCCTCCAACCCCTGTAGAGAGCTCTTTACATTCACATGCCCAAAGTTCACAGATCAGAGTTATGGTTGGGTCTGGGCAGCTCGCACTCTTTCTCAAAATTGCAGCCGTGCCGCAGCTCTCTGTAGGTCTCTCTGACCGTATCGTAGAGTGGAGCCTGGTGCTTTATATCGGGGAAGTTCTGAGGTGTCTCGTTGAGGAGGAACTGCAGCCGGTCCTTCGCTGCAGTCATACAGCACAAAGAGCAGGTTGGCTGCGTAAGGCACGATGCGGCTGGTACGGAAGGTGCGGCCATGTTGCACGTCAAAGTTGTCAGCAGTCAGGGCCGTCTCGTCTCTGAAGAAACCCATGAGGGCCAACAGGGGCAGGAGGGTCTCGGCATGGCCCACCTGGATGGTCACGGCCTCAGATACATGCCCAAACCTGAACGGAAAAAAAGGACTATCCACAGTTCAAAAATCATGATAATAACCAGCCACATGCTATTACAATGTTAAAACAACTACTAAGGGAAGTGCTGTGAAATGCATCAGAGGGGAAAACAATATATTCCCCATTGCCACATAGCAGGTAGCTCAATTAGATTTCCCATTGTAGAGCCCATTGAAAACAGGTGTAACACAATCCATGGGAGAGGAAGTGTTGGGTCCCAATAGTTTTTCAATAACAAGTAAGGGGACTGGCTAGATAACAATGATTGGCCTATATACAGTGCCTTCAGAAAGTTTTCACATCTCATTAGTTTTTCCACATTTTGTTATTACAGCCTGAATTTAAAATTGATTAAATTGAGATTGTGTCACTGGTCTACACACAATACCCCATAATGCAAAGGTGGTATTCCAACACAATACGTCACAGAGTACCACTCTTCATATTTCCAAGGATGGTGGTGGCTGCATCATGTTATGGGTATTCTTGTCATCGGCAAGGACTAGGGATTTTTTTTTTTTAGGATAAAAAAAATGGAATAGAGCTAAGCACAGGCAAAATCCTAGAGGAAAACCTGGTTCAGTCTGCTTTCCAACAGACACTGGGAGACAAATTCAACTTTCAGCAGGACAATAACCTAAAACACAAGGCCAAATATACACTGGAGTTGCTTACCAAGATGACATTGAGTGTTCCTGTGTGGCCAAGTTACAGTTTTGACTTAAAATTGGCTTTAAAAACTATGGCAAGACTTGAAAATGGCTGTCTAGCAATGATCAACAACCAACTTGAAGAATTTAAAAAAGTTATAATGTACAAATGTCTGTACAATCCAGGTGTGCAAAGCTCTTAGAGACTTATCCACAAATACTCATCGCTGTAATCGCTGCCAAAGGTGATTCTAACATGTATTGACTCAGGGGGTTGAATACTTATGTAATCATTGCCTCATTTAGAATTTTTTTCTTCCACTTTGACAGAGTATTTTGTGTAGATCGTTGACAAAAAAAAGAAAATTAAATCCATTTTAATCCCACTTTGTAACAACAAAATGTGGAAACAGTCAAGGGGTGTGAATACTTTCTGAAGGCACTAAGTGATATAATCATGGTAGACAATAAAATGGAGTGTGGACTGTGGTTTAACTTTACAACCAACTCACCTGATCTCATGAGCAGCCTGATCAAGACGATTGAACAGGTCATGAAAGAGAGTGCAACTGGACTTGCGGTTGATGTCATGACCATAGCCCCTCTTCCAGTACTGTTTCAGGTCATTCTTGTACTCCAGTACCTGAAAAGGCACAGGTGATTACATTAATGAAAATTAGATCTTTATGACTGAACCGGGTTCTTCATTGTTTGTGGTAGAGGCAATAGCTCTCCCATGATTTTGTGGACATACTTGGGCGTCAGTCTCATCAAACAGGTTGCACCAGGGGGAGTTCAAAGATTTAATGGCAAACTCATATGAGCACAAGAAGAATGTAGCCTCCACCAGATCTGGTGACAAAAAAATAATAATTGGAGGATTAGTGAATGAATTTAACTGGCACAAGAGGATTGCAAGTTTCAACCGTAACACGATGAACTATCTCCACTACACAAAGTGGCAAAGATTTGGAACCAAGCAACCTGGTGTGATCCGATTGTATGGAATTTGCAGCTTGTCAGCCATCTTCATCTGCACTCTTCATCTCTGCTGAGGCCTTGAAGAGGTGGACCTCTTCCAGGGCAGTTTGGTTGTTCTCTACATCCTCAACAAATTTCTGGCAATTGTCAAAGAATCTCATCAACTCATCGTTGATTTTGTGGCTGGGTCCAACTTCTGCAACAAGACAAAAATAGAATACAATAAGTCCAAACATTGTACATTATTTTCTCTGATCTCGCCCCTCTCAGCTGTACCAAAAGTAATCAGTGTGAGAGACTGAGTGTGATAGGTTCAGGCATATCATTCAGGGAATAGCAAAACGACAAAACTAGCTAGCTTTGCTGTACAAACAAACTCACCGGTCACTTTCCAAAGGTTGAGCAGGCCCTCTTGGAATGCTACAATGCTGTCCACGCATCTGTGTTTAGAGCTAGTGATGAAACGGATACGGTGGGCTCGGAGGTTTTCCTCGGATATCAGAGACGGAAACAATGTTGCCAACCTGACAGCCAGATGCCTATGGTCATCTAGCCCCTTCTCCACAAGCTTGCCATCCATGTCGTCAGTGTACCATATTTCCCACTTGGTTTTGATGTCATTCAGCCATTTATCAGTGTTCATTGCCTCGTTTCGAACAAGGTCGTAAAGCCGTTGCATCCTTTTTATATTTTTGGTCGTTGGATATCGTGTACCATGCCGAATAATGGCGGTCACATGAATAGCCGTGCAATCCGTACATCCCGGTTTTAAAAAGGATTTGTTTACCGAGAGGATGTCATTAATGAGATAGCTGTTAATCTCCTCATATCTGCCTTTCGTTCCAAAATAATTAGCAATTGCAGGTATGTTTGAATTAACGTTAGCATTTGCAACGGAGCAGTATGAAACCGGGTCAAAGCAAGACTACATTTTCGTGAACAACAAACTTTGATTAGATAACGCAGATGTAATTTAGTCAAATTAGTTGAGGTAGGAACAATTTATTATTTAACTACTAAACTAAGTTAGCTAAGCTATCGCATTGTTTTCTGCTTTGTTGTTGTTGTTTCGCTGCGAACACAAAAAAACGGAGCTCCACCAGCCGGCCAACCGTAATATATCGCTGCGTTTTCGTGTGCAACGGGACCCACACTAAACCCACAATGAGCATAAATGTATAAATCTGAAGCATCCGCTTGGCGTTTCCACTCGCCACCAAATATGGTGACGAGAGAAAACCCAGTGGCCGACATTGGGAGAAGATGGAGCGAGATGGATTTTGGTAGACATTCTATGAAACATGTAATGTCAATACAGTTATTTACAAAACTAGAATCTGTTACGAACATAGTGGACTAAGTTTAGTAGACTTTACCCTTTGCCGAAGTTAAAACAAAATCGCATTGTTTAGGAGTGCAAGGGCGAATCGAGTTATTGCACAGGCGCACTTCAGAGTATGCGTTTCCAAACGTAAATATGCAAATACATGCTATTACGCGCCAATAGGATCTCGCTAGCTCATGCTTGGCTCTGCCCACCTCCTTGCTTGTTCTGCCCACTATGATTCATTTGGTCCCATTGGAAACGACAGGTGGTGGTCTATCTTTGGTTAGTTATATAAAATCTTTCCAAAAACCTTTGATCAATGACCTTATAATCTTTTTAGAAATTGGACAGAAATCAAGATAACTAAACAAAGTGTTCAGGGCTGTAGGAAATCAAAATCAAACAAATATTCCAAACACAGACCTAGTGGTTTCAACCTAATTCTTCTTTAAGATTTTATGGCATACCACAACTAACGTTGTATTACCGCCACCACGGGGATTCAACCATATACAGACCCATTTCCTGTACATGACACACTGACGTTACGCACAGATGCGCGCGACTCTTGGCTGCAGTAAGAAAGCCATCGCCATCTGCGTCCGTTCAACAGACTAGATTTATGTTTTTATTACTTCTAAACAAGCTAACTTTTTGGGTGGTTATCATACGCTTACAATGATATTTTGATTCTTGCTTTAACAGTCGCTAAGATTATATTTGGTTGTGATTGCAAAATAACTATTTTGTATGCAGCCTTTGTTAGCTAGAATGCTCATTGATATAGGCTGTAGCAAAAGCTAGGCAAAGGGCCATTTTACTGGTTGAAGTTGAAGTATGCAGTTGATTTGCGATGATGACACACATTATATTGAGCAAGACATTCATACGAGCCTTAAAATACAAGTATAATCCAAAAGTAGTTGGAAATGACGCAGATGCTAAGCTACAGGACTGTTTTGCTAGCACAGACTGGATCATGTTCCGGGATTCTTCAGACAGCATTGAGGAGTACACCACATCAGTCACTGGCTTCATCAATAAGTGCATCGATGATGTCGTCCCCACAGTGACCGTACGTACATACCCCAACCAGAAGCCATGGATTACAGGAAACATCCGCACTGAGCTAAAGGGTAGAGCTGCCGCTTTCAAGGAACGGGTCTCTAACCCGGACGCTTATAAGAAATCCCGCTATGACCTCCGACGAACCATCAAACAGGCAAAGAGTCAATACAGGTCTAAGATTGAATCATACTACACTGGCTCTGACGCTCGTCGGATGTGGCAGGGCTTGAAAACTATTACAGACTACAAAGGGAAGCACAGCCGCGAGCTGCCCAGTGACACAAGCCTACCAGACGAGCTAAACCACTTCTATGCTCGCTTCGAGGCAAGCAACACTGAAGCATGCATGAGAGCACCAGCTGTTCCGGACGACTATGTGATCACGCTCTCCGTAGCCGATGTGAGTAAGACTTTTAAGCAGGTCAACATTCACAAGGCCGCAGGGCCAGACGGATTACCAGGACGTGTACTCCGAGCATGTGCTGACCAACTGGCAAGTGTCTTCACTGACATTTTCAACATGTCCCTGACTGAGTCTGTAATACCAACATGTTTCAAGCAGACCACCATAGTCCCCGTGCCCAAGAACTCTAAGATAACCTGCCTAAATGACTACCGACCCGTAGCACTGACGTCTGTAGCCATGAAGTGCTTTGAAAGACTGGTCATGGCTCACATCAACAGCATAATCCCAGAAACCCTAGACCCACTCCAATTTGCATACCGCCCCAACAGATCCACAGATGATGCAATCTCTATCGCACTCCACACTGCCCTTTCCCACCTGGACAAGAGGAACACCTACGTGAGAATGCTATTCATTGACTACAGCTCAGCATTCAACACCATAGTGCCCTCTAAGCTCATCACTAAGCTAAGGATCCTGGGACTAAACACCTCCCTCTGCAACTGGATCCTGGACTTCCTGACGGGCCGCCCCCAGGTGGTAAGGGTAGGTAACAACACATCTGCCACACTGATCCTCAACACGGGGGCCCCTCAGGGGTGCGTGCTCAGTCCCCTCCTGTACTCTCTGTTCACCCATGACTGCATGGCCAGGCACGACTCCAACACCATCATTAAGTTTGCCGACGACACAACAGTGGTAGGCCTGATCACCGACAACGATGAGACAGCCTATAGGGAGGAGGTCAGAGATCTGGCCGTGTGGTGCCAGGACAACAACCTCTCCCTCAACGTGACCAAGACAAAGGAGATGATTGTGGACTACAGGAAAAAAAAGAGGACTGAGCACGCCCCCATTCTCATCGACGGGGCTGTAGTGGAACAGGTTGAGAGCTTCAAGTTCCTTGGTGTCCACATCACCAACGAACTATCATGGTCCAAACACACCAAGACAGTCGTGAAGAGGGCACGACAAAGCCTATTCCCCCTCAGGAGACTAAAAAGATTTGGCATGGGTCCTCAGATCCTCAAAAAATTCTACAGCTGCACCATCGAGAGCATCCTGACTGGTTGCATCACCGCCTGGTATGGCAACTGCTTGGCCTCTGACCGCAAGGCACTACAGAGGGTAGTGCGTACGGCCCAGTACATCACTGGGGCAAAGCTCCCTGCCATCCAGGACCTCTATACCAGGCGGTGTCAGAGGAAGGCCCTCAAAATTGTCAAAGACTCCAGCCACCCTAGTCATAGACTGTTCTCTCTGCTACCGCACGGCAAGCGGTACCGGAGTGCCAAGTCTAGGTCCAAAAGACTTCTCAACAGCTTCTACCCCCAAGCCATAAGACTCCTGAACAGCTAATCATGGCTACCCGGACTATTTGCACTGCCCTCCCACCCCATCCTTTTTACGCTGCTGCTACTCTGTTAAGTATTTATGCATAGTCACTTTAACTCTACCCACATGTACATATTACCTCAACTACCTCAACTAGCCGGTGCCCCCGCACATTGACTATGCAACGGTACCCCCCTGTATATATAGCCTCCCTACTGTCACTTTATTTTACTGTATATATAGCGTCCCTACTGTCACTTTATTTTACTTCTGCTCTTTTTTTCTCAACACTTTTTTGTTGTTGTTTTATTCTTACTTTTTTGTTTAAAATAAATGCACTGTTGGTTAAGGGCTGTAAGTAAGCATTTCACTGTAATGTCTGCACCTGTTGTATTCGGCGCATGTGACCAATAAAATTTGATTTGATTTGATTTGAAATGCACTCAAACAACACGTAAATATAGGCTTTTTTTTGCTGGTGTTCTATAAGAACTCTCCCTTGTTCTGCCACCAATTTGAGCGCATCGCCCTGGTGTGGAAATGTTAGTAAACACAGAAAGGGGTCTATACCTTAGTGGATTCAATGTCATTGAGTGGATTACCCCAAGTCTTCTAATTATGTTGACAATGTCATGCACATTTACATAGAAAAATCCTAAACATCCCTGGTCTGTCACGCATGTTGAATACAATTATATTTACACTTACTCTGCCGATTGTCCCGTGGGGTTGGGCCCTCAGCTAGTTGACATTTGAGAGAAAATATCCACAGGAAATTATTATTAAAACCAACTTCAAAACGCAGGTCTACACATAGGCTGTTTTTAGACAGCCAGCCCAATTCTGATCTTTTTGGTTTTCACTAATTGGCCTTTTGACCAATCAGATCAGCTCCGAAAAAGATCAAAATACCAGAATGAGGAAAAAATATCAGAATTGTGCAGCCTGTCTAAACACAGCCTATGTGTGGCAATCAATATGTGTTTTGCCCTTGCACAAGAACCATTCATACTAACCGAAGTCTTGAAGGTTTTTACATGGTTTTGCGCATGTGCCAGGTGATAGAACTTTCAACTTCAGTACTGGCGCTCTTAAAAGTCGGGTAAACAATACTTTCCTGTGGATATTTTCTCTCAAATGTTGACCAGCTGAAGGACCAACACTACAGACAATCGGCAGAGTAAATTCAAATATAAGTGTATTCAACATTCTGGCTTGTAGAGGACCTGAGAGGACCATTTCCAGAATCAAACACTGTCATGTTCCAAACGGTGTATTTAGAAATTCACCATCAGGTCCCCCGGCAAAATTACTCGCTATGGCAAGGGTCCCCAATTAAATTCAGCAGTGGGCAGATTTTTCCTTGAGCGAATGGTCGGGGTGCCGGAACATATTTATACATAATTTGTACACTGCAAATTGACCGCAAGATGCCCTAACATATATAGTATTTGTCAAAAACATAATCATTTCAAACCTGGATTACAATGGGATACGCTCACATATGCCTCTCTATTTATGCGTGGGAATACTTGGGAACAGATTTCCTAACTTAATATAACTTTGAACTGATTTCCTGGGGATTTTACAGTCGTTTATGTCCAACAACGAAAATTATTTTAAAAATCGTTGTGTTTTTTTGCTCCCTGCCATATGGTTTCGATCAGGAAAATACCGCTTCTCTCCACCAGAGGGCGACTGCCATACAATATCAAAAGCTTCTCACAGTGCTCTTTTTATGTGCCTGAGCATGAGGCACAGATTTTCTCTCATGCCCCGAGATTTGCACATTTCCAGGATTTTACAGTTACGTAGCTATTCATCATTAGTAGCGCAGTAAAAACGACAACTGGGCTGTGCATTAGTGAAATTGCTGTAGGAATTTAGGCACATTTTCGGAGGCAAGGACTCTTCTATCGAACGCCACACGATTTCTGGGTCTGT